CGCTCATTTCGATTCCTCTGTGATTCACCGAGTCACAGCGGGTCGATTGGGGATGAGAGTATCTCTGTGTTGGTCTGGTACTGTTTGCTTACTCTTTTGGAACTGGGGTCTGGGCGCTCAGCTGCAGATGTTCTGACTGGATCCCCCACTTTTTTTCTTTCATTGCTTCTCTGGCTGCTATGCGAGAGGGCGAAGAAAGAAGAGAGAGCAGGCGGAGGCTGGGGGGGGGGCTGGGGCGAGAGTGAGTCTTATCGAGTAGCTGCATCTCTAGAACTCGCGGAAGCAATGAGCTCGATACCGGTTCCTGAATCCCTACTGCTGTCCGCTCAACCCTCTCCGCCCGTCAACCCTCTCTTCCCACTGAAGCGTGTTGCCATTTGTTTGTTTTCTGGTTTATTCAATAATTACATGTGACCTGTCTAGATCATGGCAATGTCTACACGTCAACCCCCCTGTTTCGACGGTTGAGATCGATCCTCAGTTTATTTCGCATGCAGCCTATGTACCATATCGAGCCGTGTACTAAAGTCAAAAACATTATGGCAGCTATACATGAGGGCGATTTTGGCACAATACTCTTGACGAAAAAATACTAATATTAGTATTTCATCCCCAAAAGTCTTGTCGTAAATTAAGGCTTAGTCAGGGTTTTCAAATTCCCGCTCTTTTTGTTGAATACGGCTTCCACAATCCTGAGTGCAGTGAAAATCAGTCCCGACTCGTAAGCCTTCTGCAACCACTACTGGCCGGCCCACCTTGGAAGCTCATAAGGGTTCCATATGGGCTCTGTAGGGAATTTTGAAAAAATAAGGATTAGTAAGGCTTATACGCCCAAAAGGTTTCCATAATCGCTCTTCTGCGAGAAGCCTCATCCCAATGTCATACTTATCACTTATCAATGCTCTTCATTTGACGATGACTATCGCTTGTTCCGTACCCTTATATACCTAAACTACTCTTCTTCCCCGCTTGTCAGTCTCCTACTCACCATACTGTGCCCCCCTACTGCCCCTCGCCTTGGATACCGGTCTGGCAGTGACAGGATGAAGAGGAGAAAGTAATGGAGGAACTATCAGGAAAAGGAGGAGTTTCGGGGACGGTAACTGTAAGAGATAGAAGAATCAGTAAGAGAATCTATCGGGGAATGGAGGAGCTGCAGCAGGAGTAGTAGCTACATGAGAGATGAGATATCAGCGGGAGTAGCAGTAGTAGTTGCGGCGGAGGTAGCAATTGCAGCGGGAGGAGGAAGTGGAGGTAGTGATGCAGAAGCTGTCACCGAGAGGGGAAAGTGATGGGGGAGCTGTGGGCGAGAGAAGGAGCTGTCAGCTAGGCGATGAAGTGATGGAGGACCTGTCTGGGACTGGACGGACGATTCCCAGGCCTGGTGATGGGGGAGCTGTGTGCGAGAGGAGAAGCTGTTAGAAAGATGAGGAGGAGTTGTTAGAAAGATGAAGAGGACGGGCCCTGGGCTCGAGAGTTTTAACCTGAAAAATAAGCTTTATCATATCTGTCTTCAGAAAACTCTACGCCTAACTATACATTAGGGCATTATCTGGCGGGTTTGATTCTATCTGAGCTGCCTCTCTCTCTCATCACCATCTACAGAATACCTAGACGTTCAACCAGTATTCTACATAGACCAGTCCCGACCAAATTTGGTATGGTCGGGTCGGTCGGGATATATCCCGACCAGGAAAAAATCAGGTCTGGTCGGCCGACCGGTCTGGTCTATGTAGAACATTGCGTTCAACCTCCCACCTCCGCTCTCTCTCCTCTCGACCCGCCGCCGCCGGTGTCAACCAGGCTGATTTTCGCATATGCACTACTAACTCACAAGAGTGGTAGAACCCATGGGTTTGAATAAGGCTCATTGAACGCTTACATCATACTGGGTTTTCTGTCCCGGGCTGATATATCCCATAATGCTTCAAAAAGCCTGCCAGTTTTACAGTCATTGTTGTACGGCAGTGCTGTGCATTTCAACAATGACGATATAGGCCTGACGAAAGCTATGGGGCTTACAAAGTGACAAGGCCGATTTAGGTGATGGAGGTTGTTGCTGCATAGGCATTATGTAGGAGTTACGACATTTTTAGGGAAATGAGAACACTAGCCTTAGTTTAACACAGCCCTTACTGAGGTCTCACGAGTTCAACGTGCTTATAGCTGGATTATACGAGGATTGTTTTATTTTGTAGGCCTATTCAAGCCCCACATAAGGCTAACGACATTAGTACACGGCTCGCTATGGTAGGTATTTAGACTATGGCGAACCATCACATTTCCTGCCCACTCTGGCGAGCCGGGGGTTGAGACCCCGTTACCAGCCAGCACGATGTGGCGCCGTTTCCCGGTTGTCTGTTGCCGCCTGTGATGCTAGTGCTTAGGGCTAGCGAGCCGAGTGACCAACCATGCGGAGGCGAAATTTTGATTGCAAGATCTCCTGGAACACCTATAAAACCCTCGCTCCCCTCCCCCACTCTCCTCTTTCTTTTCTTCTTATCATCATCAGCGAACATACTAGGTCAACACACATATGAGGTCATCGCTCATCTGACCTCAACAATTACACGAGCGCGAACTGCTGCTTGAAACTGCTGTGGTTCTATGTATGGTAGATACTGCTGCTCACCCCATATATATCCTCCCCTCCCCTCCTCTCCCCGCCTCTCCCCGCCTCTCCCAGCCTCTCCCAGCCTCTCCGGCCTTCACCCGGGTGCCTTAGCACAGATTCAACATGACCGGCGTGCTGATAGACATTCTGTTAGTACCTAGACAGTGGGTATCCGCAGCGAGCTAGGTCTACAAGCACACTACGTACCTGCTGTAGGAAGACCAGTGGTGAGGGCGAACGACGGTGAAAGAAAATACTGTGTGGTGGAGTGACAGAGGAGGAGGGCTCGGCGAGAGGTGGGGCTGTCAGCAAGAAGAGAAGTTGTTAGCAAGAGGAGAAGCGTGAGGAAGAAGTGACGGAGGAGCTGTTAGCGAGAGGGGGAGGGTGAGGAGGAGCTGCCATCGAGAGGAGGAAGTGAAGGAGGAGATTTTCGGGAGAGAAAGAGCTGTTAGCAAGAGGAGGAGCGAGAGTAGTTGCGGCAAGAGGAGGAACTGTGGGCGGGAGGAGGAGGAGCTTTCTTCTAGGAATGAGCTGTCTGCAGTGCAAGAGGAGGAAGTGATGGGGGAGGAAGTGATGGAGGAGCTGTGGGTGCCACCGTGCCGGTGAGAGGATGACGTAGTGATGGAGGAGCCATCAGCGAAAGGAAGCAGTGATGGAAGAGCTGTCGGCGTGAGGAGGATGTGAAGGAGGAGATGTTCGGGAGAAGGAGGAGAGGATGTGTTGTTGGCGAGAGGAGGAAGAGAACTTGGAGGAGCTGTTGGCGAGATGAGGAAGTGATGGAAAAGCTGTCGGCGGGAGGAAGCGAATGTGGCCAGTAGTAGGCTGCAGGCATCAAAATTTGTGGGCATGGCGGGGGGAATGTCGGGGGGTACGCATGGTGGGTCGGCCGAATAAGAAGAAAATTCTCCATTTATAAATCGAAGCCCATTCATCACTGGAGCCGGAAGCCTAATGAGCGGTAAGAATCTTTTTACCAACGGATGCCCGAAGAGAGTGGTGGAGAGACATTGCATTTACTACTAATCGCCAGTTTACACTTCAACGCCAAATCAGGCTTCTGTCCAATCGACATATTCAGTATTGGCAGCAAAATTAAGTATAAGAGCCAAATTTGACTATCGTAAACTGGCCGAAATTATTGTCAAACGCCTATTGGCTCAGCTTAGGCCAATTTACTAGCAGAAGCCTGAAATACCAGAGCAAATGAGCCGCATTTTGTGTCAGGAGCCGGTTTACAAGCAGGCTCGCATTTACTTAATAGCGGCTTGCCACACCCCCACCACACCGCAACTGAAGCCACGGCCCACCAGTGATCACTGACCAGCAGCCTAAACGAAGTACTTTCAGTTCCAAACCCGAAGGCTGACGGACTTTGAGGCTTGGGGCGTGCTTACCTTTGCCGCATTTACCACCTTTACCACCTTTACCACCATACCACCTTACCACCTTGCATCCGCCGATACTCATGGCCAGAGGTTGGATCATGGCGGCGCCGAAGAGCCACGAACAGCCATGAACAGCCACGAAAGCCGACCCGATCCCCTCAATTCCCGATCCCCGATCCCCGATTCCCGAGCTATCGGCTCGCTCATCGATAAGCTCATTTCCTACCCACCTACATACATACGTAGCCGCCAGCGAACTCGAAAGTCGAGACTGGTTTCTGGAAGGTGAAGGTGAAGGCTTGCGGATGACGATGGGCAAACATGTACCCGGCTGAATGGTTCTTTCACTAGAAACGCGGGAAGTACGAGCATTCTTCTAGCTATGTAAGGGCTGCGGCATGGCGTGCAGCGTGCTTTGTATTCTCCACCGCTGCTGCCAGTTCACCAACCATCGCCAACCATCACCGATGTCTCGGGTGCCTAGGCTATCCTGTAAAGTTCATTATATGTCACTCGCTACGATATGCGTCGATGCTTTGTTTTTCTCCCTGGGTATTGGAGAAACAAGCTAGACGAACTCTGACTGTTTCGCCCGAAAGATGTGGTAAACGGGTAGTATCTGACAGTGAGACGCCGTGTTTCCGTCGAGAAATCTTTCGCCTCCGCCGGGCATGATAGTTGTACCGCATTCCGCATCAGTGAGCACCGAGCAGCGTCAGATGGATGTGTAGTTAGTCAGGCTGCAGTAGTCAGGCCGCAGGCCGCAGTACTCTACATATGTAGTGATCACCATGGTCCTTCACCGGGCCAAAGTGCGGAGCCAAAGTGCGGAGTCAATGTAGGTGATACGCACCTAATGTACATAAGCCGAGAGGAATGTCAGCAAGAAAGTACATACTTATTTGTAGGGTATACCGGTAGTTAGTCAGTTAGCACGGGAGTTATATAGTTGGCACGGGAGTTGAAACGTGAAACTAGAGACGAGGTATACCTACCTATACTCAAGAAGGATTATCAATTTTCGATGCCGTGTTCTGTTCTTTTCTGTTCTGTTCTGATCTGTTATGTTATGTCAGCCGTACATGCATACAGACCGGTGCGGAATCCGTACTGCTGAGCGAGGGGCTGACGGACTGACGGACTGACGGTAGAATACCAACTTACATCTTCCCCCTCCCGGGCCCAGGTGATGTTACAACTTACAACTGGAAGTCTGGCACAGCGGGACCGTCTCCATCCAATGCCGGCGTGAGTTCGGGTATGTAGGTATCTACCAGCGGCAGAGGACAGAAACGGCCTGCCGCCTGACAACCAAAGATGTGTCAGCATGACTGCCTCGCAGCTTCTCCTGTTATATACGATGAGTCGATGACAGCGGCCGCCACATATGTAGTGCCTACATACAACCCAAGATTGACACGGCACAAGTACAACTTACAACGAGTGACATGGCCGTAGCTCTCTTCACCGATGTCTCTATTGTACCAGGAGGCTCGAGGCTGCATGGCCGGGAGATGGTTAGTTGGTAGGGAGGGTACGGAGCCCCCACATCTCTGGAAAATCAGGGAATCCGTCACTCCAGAGGACTAAGTGGCTGGCTGGCCGCTGGCCATTCCCAACGGGCTCGAGCCCGCCTGGCGGGGCGGGGTGGGGCAGGGCGGGATAGGATCATTTTCGGCAGGGTCGGTGGAGTATGTGTCCCTCATATCTCCAGTCTCCAGGCCTCCGGGCGAGCGTGTTACGGTATCTAGAATCTAAAAAAACTGGGTGGCTGGATATCTTCACTGGGCTCGCCGCGGATTGGATCTGGATCTCGCAGAACCTGAGAAATCGGCCGGCTGCAGTGGGCGTGGGCGCCCGGCGTAGTCACATCGACATCACGGGGTACACCGTACATATCAAAGTGCACCTTTGGCTGTGAGGCTTGAAGCCCAGCGGCGGCGGTTGGGCAGGTTGGCGATACATGTAACATAACAAACGCCCAGTCGGAGAGGATACGAATACGGTGGACTCAGGACTGCGAGGCAATCCAACCGTGCCGGTTCACGGGAATGCCTCATGCCTTCTCCGATATCCACTCCCGCGGCGGGTCACTGGGAGTGGGATTACATACGAGGCAGAGAAGGTGGGTATCACGTTCTCTGTGTAAGCTCCACTTCCGTCGCCGATTCCACCAGAATCGGGGGAGCCTGAAGGAAGTATGTAGGCTGACGGCGAGGCCAGGCGGGGTTTCACCATCACCATCACGGTTCACCGATCGACAAAGCAAGCAAGCAAGTGTACGGCGCCGAGATGGGCGGTCTACCTACGCGTACATACGTGAAAAAGCACAGCGGCGGCATCGAAGGTAATCCCCACAGATATTGTCAAGGTCATGGCACTCCGGTGCGTACGCCGTACATACGTACGGCTGGCCGTGGCTGACGAGGTTTCGTGCTGGTGAAACGAGTCGTCGCTTATTATTGGCACGTTTCGTGCATCGCGCACACAGGAAGAGTACTGTATTTACATAGCTATGTCATGTGCGGGATTATGGGGGGGCATGGTGATCTTACCGATGACCATGCACCGCGTCGTCGGTGCGCGGGAGAGCTTTACGTATTGTACACACATGACAATGGCAAGAAAGCAAGGGGCCAATACTGGCCGGACCCAATGCGAGGATCAGCCACGTCCAGAATCGAAACACAACACGAGTCGAACTGGAAGATCTTGTCCTAGGCCACGACGCAGACGGACCACGCCACTTGCAGCGTGCGAGAAGTTCTGATTCGCTCACTGTGTTCACCCACCCTCCCACGGACATGTGATCGTGGTGAGATATGGCGTTCATCTCGAGTTGCAGCTTGCAGCTTGCAGCACGTTGGGTAGCACTCGTCGGAAGAGCAGCATTGGAATTTGGCACTCGAGCGAAGGACAGTCCAGGATTCCACATCGTGTTTTGACGTTTCGCACCAAGAGAGCCAGCGGGAGTCTGGACACCGATTTCCTCATGGTTGGGATCGTAGCGCCCGATCGCCGATTCATCATTCGATGTATTCCGTAGTGGAATCGGCACCAATGCGGAGGTCAACACGTTGCTGTGTTGCTGCGGCAAAGGCGACATGAGTGCGAAACGTCGAGCATCTGTATGTGCCCCCAGTCCAACAGGCATACAAACATACCGTATTAGAGTAGTGCTGCACGGCCAACTCCTCAGCCTTGGGAGTCTGGCCCAGCATCCACGGCGTCGATGGAACGGAATCCGAAACATTATGCAGCCCAGTCCCAGCAACCAGGGCCAAGGTTTTGCTGGCCATGGTACATATGACCACCGGATCCTGGGCTCGCTGCGGCGCTAGGCATGCTATTGGGCGCCGTTCCACCTTATCTCGTCCTCCCACCGTCCTCGTTGTGTTTCAGCACCTTCTCTCCGCCGCCGCCATTGGTAGCCGCAAGTAGCTAAGAGCAAGTGGCTGGCGGGCCGGAAACTGCGCACGCACGAGAGGTCGCGCGCGAGGAGCCAGTCACCCTCGCCGAAAAATCGCGCCGATTCGTCAGTTGGGTATCAGAAACAGGGTTTTTGGCCGAGCTTACTATTGCAGTTTGACGTTTACGGCGCGGCTGCGTCAAGGTGCAGCATACAGGGGGACGGGAGAGGGCGGCGGCAAACAGAATGGTGGAAGCATCGCAGAGAACACGGCGGTCATGGAGGATGCGGAGGATGGGCACGGAGAACACGGAGGATGGGCACGGAGAACACGGAGAACGCCGGGAATGCATGGAAGGCAGAGAACACACAGAACACGGAGAATACGGAGAACGCCGGGAATGCATGGAAGGCAGAGAACACACAGAACACGCAGAACATTCAACAGGGTGGGGTGCACTGGGTGGGGTAGCTGTCTGTCTGGCGGGAGGTGACTGTGTGCTGCATGTCGTGCCATAAAAAGGTTGGCGGTGTAACAGTCAGCCAACGAGTTACGACAGGTGGTTCCAGCATCAGCTCTTCTAGAATAGACTGCACGGCCGAAACGTGGCGGCATGGCCACCAGAACGCCAACATCCACTGTGTGCACTCTATCGCTGATGGTGGGCTCGAAGCCACTCTCCGATCCACACACTCACCCACAATCTCACTCACACACCCACACACCGACACCCACACACCCATACACCCACACCGGCGGGCTGGCTGCGGCTGGACGACTGCAAAGGAACCCAGCCTGCGAATGCGGCATTCGAACGTTGGGTGGGGGGAGTGGTGTGTGAGTGCACCAGCCCAGCAAACACTTTAAGTACCAGAAGAGTCCTCGCTGGACCTGTGCTCGCACACACAACCCGTTCACGCGGCGCTCTTCCTCCCACACCCAACATGCCGAAACCAAGCGCAATGCTCACCATCCTCCGCACGCGCAGCCTCGCAAAGCGGCCCAAGCTAGTCCGGGACGGCCGGTCCACATCTGCGCCCTCATCCGCGCCCTCATCGCCCATCAAGGACGCGTTCAGCGGCGAGGTGGGAAAGCACTGGGAGATCGCTTTGATCCGCACACGCAGCCTGACCTCGCGGCGGATCGACCTGGTCCGCGACTGCCCTCTCCCCTCCCCCGGCGAAGACGGCGAGGCCCAGCTGTTCCTCCCCGACTACCTCGAGAAGCGCTGGGAGATCGCCCTGATCCGCGCCCCCGAGGAATGCTTCGACGAGATGAACCTGCCCGAGTCCCTCGAGCGGCGGTGGGAGCAGGCGTGGGACCGCGCGCCCATGTGCATCCGCGTCTAGCGCGTAGTCGCCGATGGAATATCACGCAGATGGGCCGATGCCTTCGCTCTCTTTCAAGGCTGCCCGGAATTATTGCTGGCCGTGCGCGGGGAACAGTGCTGGCGGGACGGACGGATCGTGAGAAAGGTACGTGTGTACACTTATACATACATGCCGACTTATACCCCGTCTCTGTCCCTTCCTTGCCCGCGCACTCACACTTCTGCTCGCCAGACCGTAGGACACGATTATCCATTGATTTGTCAATGTCGATACGTGGTTTGGACTCGGGGGAATATGAGCATCACAGAATACTTTGCTAGTATTACTATCACTACTATGGTACACCCCATCGCTCCTCTTTTCCATCGCGAACAGCGTGCTGACCATGCATCAGAAATTTACAAGACCGTGTCGCGAGGGTGGGAGGGTACCGTGGGATCGCGGTGGACCGTGGGATCATGGCTGCACGAATCAACGAATGAAACGAATGAACGAATGAACGAACGAATAATGTCTGTTATGGATGACGAATAATAAATAAAGACTCTGTGAATGAAATGCAACGAATCAGGATTCATGTCCACTCACAACTCCGACTCGTCCTGGCCACTGGCCACTCGTATATCGCTCACGTTGATCCATACCGTAGCTGCTTGCAGACAGATGATGCGTGGGAACCTGGGAAACTGGGAAACAGACGAACGAACAAAAGTCCCATTCGCCGTTAGATGTGCATTTGGTCTCCACGTATGATACCTAGTAGTGATCCACTCTGGTGGCCGTGGCGTTGTGGCGTTGTGACGTAAAGACTCACGTGCTGTCGAGTGATGTCTGGTGACGCGCACTGATGGGATCTTCCGGAGATGCACTGTGGTTCCGACCGGACATCGGGAGATGAAGGACTCGATGATATGATTTGGAAATTCGGAAGTAAGTCTTCACCGGGGGTGGGGGGGTTCCATCTCATTTAAGTTACCTGCTTCTTAGAACTTGAGTACCTAGGTCCAATTCCGAGACCTGTCACCTGACCTCACTGGTTCCTGGGCGAGAAAGCGGATCCTTGTATACACAGACATCCAACCCAATCCTTTGTTTCTGTTTTACTTCTATTCTTCTTTGTGTTTACTTCTACGCAGCGCAGTAGCGAGGTGGATCAATGGAGGGCCGGAACTTCAAAGTTCAAGCAAGAGTGACCCCCAGCTCCCGACTACACAGGTACCTACGCTTCCTCGCTCTCTCGCCCTCTCATATATGCGTTGCAGCCTGCAGGAGTTCTGAGAATTGAAATTGGTTTTTTGGGGGGACGGATCATGCATCCGCACTCGGCTGGTTTTCAGTTCTCTAGGTAGGATGTAGATAGGTATGTAGCCAGTCGTCGGGCGTCGGGCGTCATAACAGATTGCGTCGGTAACTGAGGGCCTTTTCGGGTTGTATGGAGCTGTGTTTTCAGGCCTGGGGTTTCTGACGAGGTGAATGTTGATACCAAAGCTGCAGTTGCAGCTGCAAACTCTGATCGCCCCCGGCCCCGATGAACCCGTTCGGCACCGGGCATCCCAGCTGTTCAACTTTTCTCTGATTACGAGGGGGCTACGAGGGTATATAGCTTCTCGACAGGACCCCCAGCGGACCAGTCCCACGGTCCACCGGCTCTCCTTTCCTCGCCCTCTCGCATAGCAGCCAGAGAGGCAATAAAAAAACAGGGGGATCCAGTCAGAACATCTGCAGCCGAGCGCCCAGACCCCAGTTCCAAAAAGTAAGCAAACAGTACCAGACCAACACACAGAGATACTCTCACCCCCAATCGACCCGCTGTGACTCGATGAATCGCAGAGGAATCGAAATGAGCGATGACCTGATATGTGGGTTGACCTGGTATGTTCGCCGATGATGATGGAAGAAAAGGAGAGAGGAGAGAGTGTGGGAGGGAGCGAGGGTTTTATAGGTGTTCCAGGAGTTCTTGAAATCGAAATTTCGCCGCCGCATCATCGGTCACTCGGCTTGTTAGCGATAAGCACTAGCGTCACAGGCGGCAACGCCAGAAAACACCCAGTAGTGGGACTGAGGCAAGAGGGGGAGGAGGGTGCTGAGGTTGAGGAGCCAGAACCACTCCCGCTACTCCTTCCCACAGCTTCGTTCGTGGCATCTCCTGTCGAAGAGGCAGGAGGCGCGGCGGGGTGAGGAACGGAATTTTCTTTCCCAGCTTTCTTCTTCATCTTCGTCTTCTTTCTCAATCATCTTCTACCGAATAGACGATCAAGCTTGATATATTCTCTTTCGTCTGTGTGTGCTCTCCTCTCGATCCCCCCTCTAGCCTAGAGGGGGTGTTGGCAAAAGAGCCGCCTGCAAAAACTGAACCGGTGGGTGGCGTCGAGATGTGTATAGAAGTGGCTTCGCTCTTTCGTTTCCTGGGGACGCGGCGGCGCCGCAGCGACTGTACTGTCGCCGGGTCTCTAGAGTACCACGGCTCGCTGCAGGGCGCGTAGGGCGCATGGGAAAGGATAGGATAATAGGTAGTATGGTTCATCTCTCTGACAAGGCCCTTAAAGCAATAACCGAGTCAGTTCTTAGATGTGACGGTCGAGGACCATGGGGAGTGAGTCATTGCGATTGCTGGACTTCGCATTTCCGCTCGCGGTAGTATCGTATTTCACAAGGTTCCGGACAAGCTTCGGAAGATCATCACTATAGAAGGAATATCCGATTCGATACTCGAAACCGTCATCTCACCATCGTTAAGCCCCTTGTGGACAGCTGGTCACTAATTTGCATGTGGAGATCATCTGGCACAATGTTTTAAATTTCGCCAACCACATCAATAAGTACCAAATGGCATCCATGGACTCATCGGGAGACATATAGAGTAAACTCGGATAGCTCATCCATCACAGCTTTGCCTTGTTCATCTTGGTCTCCACCTCCTTCCACCAGGGCACGATACGCGGCAAATCCGACTTCACCTCGGCCACGAAAGCCGGCGGTCTCTTCTCCAGGAAAGCTTGAATACCTTCCTTCTTATCTCTGCATGTTGTTAGCTGCTGACCTCCATAGGACTGGGGAAAGGACTTACGGCCCGACGAACAACTCCGCGAGTAGCCTTGAGTCAAGAAGATGCGTTTCCTCGGGCGTCGCAGGTGTATGGAATAGCATAGCTTTGACGAGATATGCCGACACGGCGGAAGCCTGGGTCGCGATCTTCGTGGCGATTTCGAGGGCGCGGGGGACAACCTGCGGTCGATCAGCACCTCGCTCGGCTAGCCCGCAGCTGATGCACACGTACATCCTCAGGCCCTGCCAGCACCTCTGAAAACAACCCTTCGATCAACTTGTCACTTCCCGGCAACGTCTCACCAGTGGTGAGTATATGCATCGCCCGCGAGTGCCCGATGAGCTTTGGTAGGAACCACGAGCTGACGGCTTCCGGGACGAGCCCACGCCCGACGAAGGGGAATGCGACTTTGGCTCGCGCGTGCGTGATGCGGATCGTGCACGGCAGAGTAATGGTGATGCCGACCTAGGCGCGTGAATGAGGACTTGTAAGTACTCGTGCATACCTACGGACCGGGAGTGTCGGTGGAACGGAGAGACGTACATACCCCTACAGCGGGACCGTTGATGGCGGCGATGACAGGCTTTGTGCAGCGGTAGATGGCGAGGGTGACCATGCCGCCCCTTGAAGTTTTTCCCGTCAATTTTACCCGTTTACACTCGGATCGAGGAAGAAACGCACTCATCCCGATGCTGCTCGAATGGCTGCTCGTTCGTACCTAGCAATCCGGAATTCAGATCCGCGCCCGCACAGAACGCTCGTCCAGCACCCGTGAGCACAATCACGCGCACCCGCTCGTCCGCTGACAAGACGGTGAACGCGCGCTCCAGCTCCAGGGCCATCTCTTTCGTGAATGCATTGAGATGCTTGGGCCGATTCAGGGTTACGACCGTGAGAGCTTGCGGATGAAGGTGATGCGGCACCGGCGGAGGGAGTGGTACGTGGGATATGGCGATGGTATTGAAATGGAGGAAGCTGTAGTTCTTGGGGACAGCGGTCGACATGGTGAGTGGGGTGACTGGTTGATATTGGGGGAGTCAGGTTTGAGCTTCGTGACGTGGGGTGCGGGTTGATATAGTTGTCGCGAGCTTCATAGCTGGCGATATGGTGTTTGCCGAGGTACCCTGGGGAGTTCTGGATGCACATGCGCCTAATTAACAGGCAACTGCAAGTGATTAGTGATTAACTGCCGAACTGATGTTACACGACGGACGGTTCCATGGGAAAAGAAGAAGCATCGAACGTTCGCACGTCGCACTGTATCTACGAGTAGATCTTGCGCTGTTGCGCTCTAGCGGATATCACGTGCATTTCGTACAAGCTCACATTCTCGCCTGGCACTAAAAGCTGAAGCAAGGTGGCATGTAGTTCAACAGAGGAGGATACTATTGATTCCATTGACTTCTCAAGAATAACCGCCTACTTCAATTAATTTCAGGAACTAATGGGATGGTATGTACTCAACATCACCGCAGGTGAACACGATGTAGCGTACGCGACTCACGATAGAGAATTGCGGACCGAATGTTTCGTATCGTTTCGACAGTGTGGCTTCTTGCGGCAGTCCTGAAGTATGGTGGACTCTAGAGTCAACTCCCTACGATTTTCGTTGTTCGCGGTGGGTGTCCGGACGCATTTTTAGACGCTCAGTGCGTAGGCTGTGAACATGTGACTGAAGCCGGTACAGCGGCTTGCGTTGAAATCAGATTCGCACCCGTGCTTAGCCTTTGTAGAGACATAGAGACATCATTGCGTGCACTGTCAGGTGTAACATGTATCTTCTCGAGTTGAACTTCCATCATTGATGCTCCTCGGTTTTAGGCTTAGCTTCTATGCGAAATATGTCTTTTGAGCGAAGGTATCATGCCCGGGCTGGAGCTAAAAAGGTATCCAGTGCCCTCACCAGCCACAGCAAAAATTCTGCATCTTACGCGTCGATGCAACGAAGACAATGCAACTTGACAGACAGTGGGGTAGAAAAAGAGAGAACCCCGAGGTATCGTGGTATTATCATCGAAATAAATTTACTGAGGATTTGCTTGCATTTCGTAACTGTCTAATGGCCAATTTGTCTCTAGTCGCGCGTTGTGAACAGCGCAGACCAGATGAGTGCAATTTGCACTTGAGTCATAAAAGTCACTGACTCGCCATGCGCACATCTAGTGACTTGTGTGTCACTAAGATGGATTGATTCATCACTAAGATAAATTGACCCGCCACTAAATTTGATTGACTCGTCATTGAAATACCAACTAAGATTTTACTTCTCAACCGATGGAACACATAACCCACGGAAAAATCGGTATAAAAGTTGGGAAAGCAGCACCATAGCAAGCTTCAGGGCTTCAATAAAACAAAATAGAAAAGAATTCATTTTCTCTCTGTCGAACTCTCGCTACCCAGTCGACTGCTTAAAAAAAACTTGGTTTTGTACTCAGAATTAGGGTGGCGGTGCAGCGGGCATCGCATACCGACGAGATTTTCGAACCAGACTCTGAACGCCTATCGCCACCTGTCGCCGCCATAATAAAGGTTTGTGGGTCAAACTATGTCCCTGTCATGGTATTCATGGTATATAAAAGGATGCCCCCTGCATTCCATGGTATATAAAAGGTACTCAGGTGTAAGGGTAAGTGGTGTCTCACCTTGCGCTTATAATTTGTAGAGGTAGTGAGGCACGACCTATTGACTGCTCCTAGTACTCTCGGGGATACCGGCAACCCAATAGTGTGCGTCTCGTGTGAAAACGATTACGCACGTGGCATACAAAGCTACTCTGGATCAGCTTTAGGATATCGGAGCGGTTTGGCGGATCGTTACCGGTATGTACCTAAAAAGCTAAGCACGGTCCTAAATATCCAAAGACCATATGGATTACATACCTAATCCGTCCGGTGGGGGTGCGCGGAGGGTGTCGACACGACGGCCACCTCCATTTGACGCAATTCGGCTAAGCTCGGTGTCCATCCACACAGTCCTCCTGGACACATTCCGTTGCGACGAGATTCCGCGCTCGGTGGCCGTATGCTAGTGAGAGACCTTCCGATGTCTTACGAGAAATGTAGAAACGTGATTCAATCGAAAGGAAAAGAGGTCTATGAACTTTTGGGTATATCTGTGGTGTTGAAACTTGAACAACAGACGAACCGACAGTGTTCTGCATAGACCAGTTCCGACTATATTTGGGTATGGTCTGGTCGGGTCAGATATATCCAGACCATAAATTTTCAGGTCGGGTCGGGATAAGTCTGGCTAAGAAACAACATTTGACGTCGGAAGTGCTCTAACTACCGCCGGGAACTAAGGAAATTTTGCGGCTGATAGAGTTAACAGGTAACCCGACGTCGGCCGACCTAATTAGACCTAGCCGAGTGGGTTCTGAATAGAAAAGCAGCAACGGAAAACATTTCAACGTCCAACGACCGCATCGGGTTTCCCCTCCTTAACGCTTAGTCCTAGCAGGTCCCTGCAAGGTCTCTCTCCCCAAATTCAAGGTCCCACTCGGGTCTCGATAAGGTCTCCTCTCCAACGCCCACCGATGACGCCCAGCCGACTCTGCCTTCGCGCACTCAGTATGTAGAAATGAAGTATGTAGTCAGCACCCCTACCAACCTTAACCCAACCACACCCCCATAGGTACACTGTGTCCACCCACCAACAGGCACATACCATATAGCTTGTTTGGCCGGCGAACTTGAACTCTTGGTACGACACAATCTATACACGAGAGTGGCGCGTCTCGGGAAACCACCACCGTGTCAATCACTTGTTTCGCAATACATCATACATACTAATAGAGATTTTCGAGGTTCACCGGCCGCGGGTATCTAAATGGTGCAATGTCGATTGTAAGATGGTGAGCGGGAGTCCAGACAAGAAGTGTCACCCGCCATCTCCGATCAGATAAGATAGCCGACGAGGCAGCGATGCCGTCCTTGTCTTAGCAGTGGCAGGCCGCCTCCCTTCTTTGTAACAATCAATCTTCCCCGTTGGCCGGAGGACTGTATTGTACATGCGAAGAGGGCTGGCTCGGGAATTCGGGATGGCCTCCCGAGTCCGAGGAGGCTATCGGCTATCAGCGGGGGTTGGATGCTGAAATAAGAGGTACTCGGCGTACTCTACTCTGATAGTTTTATTGTCGTATCTGGCAGTCGGCTTTCTATATCTGGCATCTCGGCCTTTGATACGAAAGACAGTTCTACCTCTATTTCTATTTGTTTTACTTCTCGTTCGGGCACTAATTTGTGCGCCAAGTGTCAAAACCAAATACAACTGAGACATTACCTCTTCAGTGAATTGATACGTTATGTTTCAGCGAGTCGTCGCCAGCTGATCGTAAAAGTCGTGGGTTGCAACAGGCCCGAAAATGCGTGCATGGATACGACGCCGCAGAGCACAAATGTCGCCGGACCATTGGTTCAGCAACTATCGGTAAATCGCTGCATGTAAGTACAGTACGTATGTGCACCAACAACTCCGCATACAATCAACCCCGCAGCCAGAATCGCATAACACCAAAGCCAGCCCGCCCCTTTCTTTTGTAATCACAACCGGACACCACAGCTTGGATTTTACCTTCGACTCGATTCATCGCCCCAACATAGCCCGCAATGACTCCTCTTCGGAGTGTACTAGGAAAGCGAGATCGGTCACCGGAGGAGCCGTCGGGCCGACCACGCAATGCGCAGCCAGATCCACTCAGGGACGAGCGGGAAACGCTCCGCAGCGGCGGTAGACCACGCGTGACGGTCAGTACCGCCCTTCCGGATACCACTGAGAGTTGGAGGCTGCCTAACTCAGATCTACATAGCCGCTGGAGGAGCTAGATAGCCCCGATATTGGCCCAAGCAGCTTACTGATTCCCATCGCCCGAGCAACCGACAGTCGCAGCAGCAGCACAATCGATAGCCATAGAGTCAACACGACAACAATCAGCACGAACAACTCTCGTATATATGAGCACTCGAAGCACAACGAATTCCAGCACGTAAAATTCGATGGGCCTGTAGGGCTTGGTTCGCCAACCTCTTCTTTGACGGCGGAGCAATACTTGGCTAACTCACATCGTCTTTTTCTAGGAGGAAATACGACGATCCACTACACGCAAACCCAAGGAGCCTTGGAGAAGTTTGGTGAGTTAGAGGAAGCCGCTCCAATGTGATTCTCCATAGCTGATTTACGGTTGCGGTAAAAGCCGAAGCGCACTGCGCCGACGGTGCCGCCTTCAACTCGCGCCGATTGGAACACGAGCCTACATGCCTAAACGACACCCGAGTAGACCTCCTTAACGACATTATGCGCTGGTCGGATAATCCCGACGATGCATGCATCTTCTGGTTGAATGGCATGGCTGGCACCGGAAAGTCCACCATTGCGCGTACGGTTGCTCACAAGTGGGACCTCGAGAGGAGACTTGGGGCAAGCTTCTTCTTTACGAAAGGTCGGGGTGATCTGGCCAACGCTTCGAAATTCCTCTCCACCCTCGCCTACCAGCTGGCACGTGCGCGGTCCCACGATGTCTCCGGCCTTGCCGCTCACATAAGCAAGGCTATATGCGACAACCCCGATATCCTCAAACAAAACCTTAAAGAGCAGTGGAAAAATCTCATCAGTCAACCACTCTCTCAGCTGAATGATGTACCACCTCAATCATTATTACTAGTCGTCGATGCGTTGGACGAGTGCGCCGGGGAGAAAGATACCGAACTGCTCCTTCAACTGCTTTCTCAGGCAAAAGCCCTCGGCCCCGTGCGGCTGAGGGTTTTCGTAACCAGCAGACCGCCAATTGCGATTCGCTTCCGTCTCAGCGGTATAGAGAGCACTGCCTATCGAGAGATCATCCTTCACGAAAACCCCGAGTCCGTCAATCCCGACATATCCACGTTCCTCCGACACGAGTTCGACACCATCCGGATGAATTGTGACCTACCCGAGGGGTGGCCGGACAAACCAAGCCTGGATAATCTCGTTCGGAAAGCAGGAGGACTATTCATCTATGCTGCAACGGTGTGCCGCTTCATCGGGGACATCGACGAAGACCCGGAAGAACGTCTCACTTCCGTGTTGAGTGACGAAACTATGGAGCACGGATCGTCAACGCAACAACTCAATTCGATGTATACCACTCTCTTAATAAGCGCAGTGGTCGAAGGTCGCGAGCCAGAGAAGAAACCGGAACTCTTAAGGCGATTCAAAAGGATTATTGGATCTATTGTGATCCTTTTCGACGCCTTGACTGCTGATGCTCTTGCTGGGCTCTTGTCCGCTAAACTGTGGAAAGTGAAGCAGACGTTGCGGTCTCTGGGTTCTGTATTGCAGTATGGTTCCGAAAGCGACAGTGTTCCCATCACGCTTTTACATCTGTCATTCCGTGACTTTCTATTGAACAACCAGAGATGCACTGATCAGCAGTTCCACATAGCTAGCGGCGATGCACACGCGCATCTTGCGGCGAGCTGTCTCGATTTGATGTCAAGACGTCTTAAGCAGGATATATGTTCTCTAAAACTTCCGGGTAGCCTCACAATCGAAGTGGATCGTTCTGCGGTAAATCATTTCCTTCCCCAAGAGGTTCAATATGCGTGCCGGTTTTGGTTCGATCATCTCCAGCAAAGTAACGTCGAACTCCGTGACGGCGATTCCAAATCACTGCATAAGCTAGTCCACAATTTTCTGAACGAAAACTTCCTCCATTGGCTCGAGGCTCTTAGCCTAATGGGAAATATCTCCAACGGAATTCTCATTGTCCGCACTTTGGCTTCCATGCTGCCGGTGAGTGCTCCGAAAACTCCGAGCTTGTTTTTTTTCCCCGGCGAGATGCGCCTAGTACAGGCAAGCCAAGTTGCAATACGCACGATACCCGTTCGCTTTGGAAAGGGCTAGCCTCTCAGCACAGGCCGATTTCCTCTCCGGAACTTTAGATGGGTGCGTCTTTCACGGATAGTCTTGCTGACGTCGACTGAAGTCCGACGCCGATTATCATCTACGTGCAATGGCTAGTGATGCGGTGCGCTTCGTGCTCACTTTCGGATCGATCATCGCGATCGCACCTCTGCAAGTATATTGCTCTGCTCTGACGCTCAGCCCAAAGAAAAGCACACTCAAGGAACATTATTCGAATTGTGTCCCCGCCTGGATCACACAACAGCCAATGGTTCCCAACGTTTGGGACCCGACAGCGTTGCAAGTGCTCTGTGGTCATTCGGACGGGGTCGGCGCAGTGGCTTTCTCGCCTGATGGCAGGCTCATCGCATCGGGGTCGCGCGACAAAACCGTCCGGCTCTGGGATCCAGTGACGGGGACCTGTTGTGGCACTCTTGAGGGCCATTCGGACTGGGTCAACGCAGTAGCTTTCTCGCCTGATAGCAGGCTCATCGCATCGGGGTCGGACGACAAAACCGTCCGGCTCTGGGATCCAGTGACGGGGACCTGTTGTGGCACTCTTGAGGGCCATTCGAGCTGGGTCAACGAAGTGGCTTTCTCGCCTGATGGCAGGCTCATCGCATCGGGGTCGTTGGACAAAACCGTCCGGCTCTGGGATCCAGTGACGGGGACCTGTTGTGGCACTCTTGAGGGCCATTCGGGCAGTGTCACCGCAGTGGCTTTCTCGCCTGATGGCAGGCTCATCGCATCGGGGTCGTTGGACAAAACCGTCCGGCTCTGGGATCCAGTGACGGGGACCTGTTGTGGCACTCTTGAGGGCCATTCGGGCAGTGTCAACGAAGTGGCTTTCTCGCCTGATGGCAGGCTCATCGCATCGGGGTCGTTGGACAAAACCGTCCGGCTCTGGGATCCAGTGACGGGGACCTGTTGTGGCACTCTTGAGGGCCATTCGGGCAGTGTCACCGCAGTGGCTTTCTCGCCTGATGGCAGGCTCATCGCATCGGGGTCGTTGGACAAAACCGTCCGGCTCTGGGATCCAGTGACGGGGACCTGTTGTGGCACTCTTGAGGGCCATTCGGACTGGGTCAACGCAGTGGCTTTCTCGCCTGATGGCAGGCTCATCGCATCGGGGTCGTTGGACAAAACCGTCCGGCTCTGGGATCCAGTGACGGGGACCTGTTGTGGCACTCTTGAGGGCCATTCGAGCTGGGTCAACGAAGTGGCTTTCTCGCCTGATGGCAGGCTCATCGCATCGTGGTCGTTGGACAAAACCGTCCGGCTCTGGGATCCAGTGACGGGGACCTGTTGTGGCACTCTTGAGGGCCATTCGGGCAGTGTCACCGCAGTGGCTTTCTCGCCTGATGGCAGGCTCATCGCATCGGGGTCGTTGGACAAAACCGTCCGGCTCTGGGATCCAGTCACGGGGACCTGTTGTGGCACTCTTGAGGGCCATTCGGACTGGGTCAACGCAGTAGCTTTCTCGCCTGATAGCAGGCTCATCGCATCGGGGTCGGACGACAAAACCGTCCGGCTCTGGGATCCAGTGACGGGGACCTGTTGTGGCACTCTTGAGGGCCATTCGAGCTGGGTCAACGAAGTGGCTTTCTCGCCTGATGGCAGGCTCATCGCATCGGGGTCGTTGGACAAAACCGTCCGGCTCTGGGATCCAGTGACGGGGACCTGTTGTGGCACTCTTGAGGGCCATTCGGGCAGTGTCACCGCAGTGGCTTTCTCGCCTGATGGCAGGCTCATCGCATCGGGGTCGTTGGACAAAACCGTCCGGCTCTGGGATCCAGTGACGGGGACCTGTTGTGGCACTCTTGAGGGCCATTCGGACTGGGTCAACGCAGTAGCTTTCTCGCCGGATGGCACGGTGCTGCAATTAATATCATACGACGGAACCGTCCAGCTCAGGGATGTTGATACGCATGATGTAATCCAGGCAGTCAATGCAGGGGGAAACCCTTACACAATGGCTTTGTTTTATGTCAGTAATGGCTGGATTTTCCTAGGAGCACGTAGGATATTTTTACTCCCCCCTAATTACCAAACTCGCTGTTTTGCCGTGCGAAACAACACCATCGCCCTCGGAGGTGTCTCCGGTATCGTTTCATTCTTGAAATTTGATTCTGCCTCTGTTCCAATCGGGTGAGCACTTCCAAACGAATAGAAATCAGTATTTACTAATCACTTCAGGTGATATATCGGATCTTAAGCCTTGGAGTTTGGGTGGCGTTAGGTTTTGTGATTCCCAGTTTTGTCATCGTGGCAATCGCTTGGTCTGTTTCGATGATAGATTCAAGGGCTGCTACCCGGGAGGGAATACTGCAGGAATGAAATTCATGTGGGGTGGTAGTGTTTCTTTGTGGCTGGAATATTTTGTGGTACGTCCCTTTTAGTTAGTGATTTAAACGATAAGGATAAAACGTAATCATGCTCCGGGTATCTGCTAGTATGCCCGCAGTATGTTTGGAGAGCGAAGTGTCGATGAATATACCAGTACCCACAAGCTGTGCAGCTGACATTCTTTAATCAAGCGAGCATCGAGCAGGCGCCCATCATCAACACGGCTTGAACCAACGGAGAAAGTGTCAGGACTCAGGGGGCGAACGCCGAACAGATCGTACCTATATGTATAATGTACGTACATATACAGCGGGGCTCATACCAACAGCAGGTATATAGGGACTTTAGCTGAGCGGTAAAACGCGGCTCAGCATCATGTGTACGGTGTGATTAGATTACGGTGGGTCATAACGGTTTCATCGCACACCGGATGGCGAAGTGGGGGTACTGAGCGGATCGTAACGCGTCAGTTCGTCGCATTGCGAGGTTTAATTTGTCAACGGCTTTCTATGAACGCGAATTCTAATACTTCTTTGCTGCGCGGAATCGGTGATGGAGTGCTGGGTCCGACTCCGGCTCCCGCTCCCGCTCTGTGTTGGATGGCGGGATATTCACGTATTATCACTCGACTAGCCTCAATGGTGGTCCGGCTGGGCTAGCATCCTTCTCCGATCAGTCGCATGCCGGTGAGGATATCGCAGCAAAGTGCCGTGGTGAGAAGGAACATATATAAGATGGAGCCAGATCCAGCCACTACCTAGATCTTCGGGAGTCTGTGTACGATGCCTCACGAAAATTGAAAATCGTTCAATTTGCAGAATCTGGTCGCACCCATCCCGGGTCCGGTGGAGACAACCGTCGCTACCTCAGTAGGCACCGTACTCCACTACCGCCGGCCCTCCGCACGGTCTCCGTACTTCCAGACTGGATGTTGGCGGCCCATCAAGGCTGTTCGCGATGCCATCGGAGGGAGGAGTCCTGGACTGCTGAACTACCTTGTACATACTTAGCTAATTGATCCGTGGTCTCGCCCATTTCTTTATCCGTCGGTCGATGACGACGGTCGATCGTTTGTGGGCATTTTGGTCTGTGGGTAACATGAGCTTTAGTTAGTGTGCGGCAGGGGTGCGGAGTCTTGAGAAGTTGAGAGTCGTGGATTTAAGGTTTTCGCGCTTTGTGGGTTGTAGGGATATTAATAGAGATAAAGACATATAATGTATGTAGTATGCTATGATTATGAAAACCAGGAGCTACTTCCGCCATCCTGCTGCTCCTTTCCCTTTTCCATGTCACTTCTCTCCTCCTCCACATCCTGGAAAAGATATAGTCACTTTCCGAACTCGATCGGCGTATCTAACAGATCTCTTGCAGTATTACGTTGGGGGAAACTATCAATTTTTAGATCGAAATAGCATTCTCTGTTGGTCGGCTATGATCCGATGGCCTGACGCCCTGGGGAACTCCCGCAGACCTCAGTAATTCTCGGGCTGCAGAGTCTGTGCCCGGAATCAAAATATACCCCGATTCTCCATCACTACATAAGCCACACCTTCCTTCAAGCGGGACCTTTACCTCGACCAGTCATGGCCCGTTCTACTAAAGCAGTCCTATCAAATCGTTGACCACGATGGACCGCACGAAATGACGGCCGGGCACCGATGGGACGGGAAGGCGGACTATTGAAACACCTGCGCCATGTTCTTCAGCAATCGCCCAAAACGCACGCCGAGCTGTTCAACACGGCGTAACTCGTTTCCAGCCATCGTGTGCATGATGTCGTCGACGGTCATGGTCCGATATTGAAAAACCTCGCCCAACTTCATCCTTCTACTCCTCTTCCTCTTGCTCTTCCTCTTCCTCTTCCTCTTCCTCTCCCTCCTCTTCCTCTTCCTCTTCCTCTTCCTCCTCTTCCTCTTCCTCTTCCTCGTCCTCCTCCTCCTCCTCCTCCTCGTCCTCCTCGTCCTCCTCCTTGTCCTCCTCGTCCTCCTCCTTGTCCTCCTCCTTGTCCTCCTCCTCCTCCATACGACCACAACCACTACCACAAACACTACCACAAACACTACCACAAACACAACCACAACCACAACCACAACCATCACCGCGCCCACAGCAACGACCACCACGACCTCCAGTTACTCAAACCCATCAGATATCACGAACCTAGTACCTAACACATAAAAGCAGTAATTGATCCCTTCATCCGATAACAGTGCTTATTTATGCTGGTGCCCGATCTTGATCACCGTCTCGAACACCACAGCCAAGCCTGTAGGGGATCAACACGAGACGCAAGCCAGGATCTGAATTTCGTTTCCTCTGCCTCTAGGAACAGCTCATTGACATCATTTAATTCCACAGATGTGTCCCCATCCAGTCTACAAGTTCGCCTGCGACCACGTGGTGGCCTCCGCAATGGCGCTGTGGTGCGTTCCCGCTATTACTGCTCGCCGTGGCGATCTCCCGCTCGCTTCGGCTCCCGGTGTCGTCCTCGAAAAGGAAGTCACAACTGTTTCCCGTCAATGCAGTAAATGTCTGCAGCACCAGGTCGACCAGCTCAGGTTGTCCATCGCTCCGCGGCGCCGTGCTAGGGGCAACATTCAAGAACTCATGGACACTATCGCGTCTTACACTGACGAAATCAACGAGAACACGAAGCTGGGCTGTTAGGCTTGGGTCATAACGGCGTACGTTTTAGGCAATGGTCACAAGGTCAGTAGGGGAATTTCAAGTCTTTTACTGGGTTCATGATCTGTACTTGTTCCGTCCTCTTGCACTGTGAGCCGTTGTGGTTGTGAGTTGTAACCTGGTCATATGGCAGGCGAGAGCCTGTCTCCACAAAACCTCCCAGTTCAACTCTTTTCGACTATAAATCTTCCTTGCGCCAGCCCAAGTACCCATCGAAGTCACATATAATCAAACTGCTACGATCTCCCGTCACAAACCGAACCACCGTGATTTGCCTCCGCGCGGAGGAAAAGACAGTGGGGATGTCAGATAACCGACTCAAGCGAGGAAAACGCCGGCATCCATAGGTGGCACAGATGATGCACCGAGACTCGGCGTTACACACAGTTCTAAGAGAGCGACTTTGTTTGTTTAATCATTAATTGCTTGCAACTTAGCTAGATCGTCGCAATATACACACCGCTCTTATGTCCACTGTCCCTACGGTCTACCTTACCATGGTAAAGCGGCCCGATGCGGCTTCTCATACCCTACGCCCTGGCCTTTCCCCAAGATAGCTACATCTAGAGCTCACCATGGAAATGAACCAGGAAAAAGAAAATCCACTCCTCATACCGTCCAGTTCCTACCTCTTCATCAGGAGATGCCATGAAGGAGGGTGTGGGAAGAAATACCGGGAGTGGCCCCTGTTCCTCAACTTAAGCACCCTTCTCCTCCTCCTCTTACCCCTACCCTGCCTGCCTTTCTTCCCACTCACTGAGCTTCCGTGCAGATACCTCACCTGCTAGATCGTCCTCCGTAACCTCCGAGATCCGCCTGACCACATCAGTGGTGACGAGGAACTTCAGGATAGTCTGGCTGCACCTCTGATGAGGTCGTGGCTCTTGAAGCGATCCTTGCCTCTCCCTGTCTCCTTCCGAACCTCTGCCCACATGTTCTTCTGCTGGCTCTTCCATTCGGGCAGTATTTGGAGAGGTGCTCCTGGGCTTGGGTCTTGTAACGACACCATCCGCACCGAGCGTCGGAGCGGCTCTTCGTCGACTGGTGGTACTGGCCGGTGTGGCAATACCCAGTTTTCGGCTGGTAGAACCTCAAGCTCAAGCGTTTGGGGATCGGGTCCGGTTTCTCGCAAGGTTTCCGGCTTTCGCGTCGGTCCATGCCGTGGTCTCTTTCCTGTTAGCCTCCGTAATCCCACGCTTCCAGGTAGAGGTGCGACGGTTGCCACAGTAGTCTACTCCCGTACTGGCTGAGATAACTGGGAGCCTCCACTCCGCTGGCGATGGGGTTGTCGGGCCTCGGCTGCTAGCTCGTTCCATTCGTCGGCCTTTTCGATACCAGAGATACCTTTGCGAGTCGGGCACCATCAAATTTCGATGGTGATCTCGGGCTCCCTCCGGCATATCCCTTCCAGCCTGGATGGCGTACTTCGAGCTCTCCAGCTTCGTTCGGACGCACCGTTTCTTCTGTCCCTCCCGGGTTCCCCAATATTGCAATCAATCATCAGTCGATCGCGGTGTTCGTTCCTACCAAGTGGCGGGCCTAGCTGTCCTTTGGAAAGCTCAGGAAACTAAGGGCGATGCTTCTATCTCTATTGCCGAGCTGGGCTGCTGCCGGCCTTAGTTCGGATTGCAACGTATCATGAGGCACCCTTGATTGGGTTTCCTGAAGCTGCCTGTGACTGCCCTGGCTTCCTAATTAAAGAACCTCTGCAGGTGATCGCCCATCCGATGGTGCTTCTCCGAGAGAGCTCATAGACATTACATTCGCGGCAACCGATGGAGCGATTGAGAGCCTATGAATCTATCACATTCAGCGATGTCCTTTCAGAAGCCAGTTCTCCTGACATGAGTGCTGTCGTACAAGGCTATTAATTACTAGTGCGAGATAATACGATAGAGGGAGTGGAGGGGGAAAGCAGTTGTATTAGCAGGGAGGGAGCTATCTTTGAAGTCTCTCGGCACTACATCGGATCTCAATCGACCCCGCCCAGCTGGTCACGCGGCGACATCACCGCATTTGGAATCTTCAGAATGGTCAAGTTTGGAAAACATTTGGAGGAACAGTAAACTAGCATCAACTTAGGGCTAAGGGTCGACTCTTCCTTCTCTTACCCCCCACACTTCGTTCCACCTCCACTCCCCCCACCACTCCACCAACCATCCGTCACACTCTATTATACCTCCACACTCTATTATACCTCTACACTCTATAATACTTCCACACTCTCCGCCACTCTTCCAACCATCCTTCACACCATCGACGAGTCCTTCCTACACTCATCCCTAGTAAACAACAATGTCCGGCTTCTATTCAGATTGGCGTCGTCGCGACGGCTGGTGCGGAAACAACCCGAGATACGGTATACTGACAGACGGGTACGGGAAGAGAATCGAGCATCATCGCCAGCGTACACGTGGGTACCGGGGAAACTACGGACCTGAAGCTCAATCCTGGCGGTATGGTCGCTCGTCAGGCTATATCAATCGTCGTGATGATAATTACGGTCGCCGCGGCCGCAGTGGTACGCCAGGCTATTACAATCGTGGTTACGCACGTTCCAATCTCAGTCGCTCGTCAAGCTATAACGTTCCCGAGAATTGGCGACGAAGCTGTAGCCCTGACGAGACGCCCCCTCCACAACAGCCGCACATCGTGCGTACCCGGGATTCCTTGCCGGTGGAAATCCTTCAGAATAACTTTGAGTGCGCCGGAAACTTCTCCGATGCGTTTGCACTCACCACTTCCAATTCGTTTTTTTACAAAGTTTACAAGGTCGACGAAGCCGGTATCGCCTTGGAGGTCCTAAAATCGGATCCCATTCTGCGAAGCGAATTTCACGAACACTATAGGACTGCCGTCCGTGTGTTCCTTTTCTGTCAAATGGATGCCGGAGAAGCCAATGGTAAGTAACACATATTCAAGCGACGTACTGTGACAATTTTCTAACTAGACGTAGACGAAGACAAGGTCGGCGAAGCCCAGGCCGACTACGACATTTTCGACGAGATTATAGCCGAGAAGTTACTACGGGCTGGCGGCTGTCAAAGCCATCATCAAAATGGCTAGGATCGTCAACACTGAGGATGCCCTCTACGAGGGCCTGTTCGGCCAAAGTGAGGAATTTATCAGCGATTATGAATTTTACGCCAGCGGCCTCCTGCGAGGCGACGTTTGGGACTTTTGGAAAAATAAGAGGAGGCGGTATTGAAACAGGCTACGGCCCAGGTACGGGGGATGGATGGAAGTCTCGGCAGGGGGACAGTTAAGTGTCGGTGATGGGTGACATCACCGAGAAAATAAAAGTTGTATGCCGAAATTGTGTGCTTTTCCATCTCTCTAAAGCCCCTCTAGAGTCTATAGTGCCCGCCTCTCTCTTTTACGTACGGAACTCACTATAAGTCCTCCTTTTTCACCGCTGTGACAAAAATAAGTAGCCAGGATTCTACCTATACAAACTTCCAGGACCTTTCTCGTGTGAGGTGCAAGCCCAGTAGTTTTTTATTTGATTCTTAATACAGCTCATTTCGCAAATGCACCGGCGTAGACAACAGCGGGAGATCAGGTGAATGCACTGCAGAAGCTAGCGATACTACAGCTTGCCGGTATGACGAGGGATATCGTGTTAATCTCCGGTGACGGAGGGTATTCGATGTTTGTGTCCGGACAGATAGCTAGGGTATGAATTCTCTCTCACCTTGCCGGGCACATCCGCTTGATATCTCATGATGTCAATGAGACCACGCTGTGAATCTGACATCTGGCATTTGGCATTTTTATTTGGTGGTGGTGGTTGTGGTGGTGGAGTGAGCCTGCGGTGATGATCGGCTGCCTCTCCATATTACATACAGCCCATTCACTTCAATTCGAAACGCACTCCGGATATCCTGTCGGTCGTCGATGCATAACCTGCTCGAGATAATGGGACCAGCGGGAAAGGCCAAGTAAATACAAATCTCCCTCGCTGTCCCGGCTCCCCTACTTCTTTGCCCCGAGCGTCGACTCCTCCTTTCTCTCCGTTCCTACTGACTCCCCCCCTGACTCATACATACGGCCCGGACCCAGTCACCGAGCCACCTACTTGCTTCTAATGGTGAATTAATGGAGAGGAGGTTTAGGAGCGCGATGTTTGTATGGCGGGTGAATGAGAGGCTGTGAAGACGATAGTAAACCACCAATTTGGCTTTGTACGTGTTGAGGCACTGATACTTTTCCGTGCGGTCTACAGAGGGTATTCTTCAGTCTTCCATCACCGAGGCGGTTATTCAGGCTCGGTGCGAGGCTAATACGGTACCTTCAAGGCGGATCTGATTAAATCCGGCCAGTAGCTGATTACACAATACAAAGTTGAGCAGCTAAGAGCGGAGGTACCGGCTCTCACCACGAAGGTTCATCGGCGGCAGCATGGAAAAGTTCTCATACGAATCCTTCTTAAAGCACTGTAGAACCTCGGAAATTTTACTATCCATCTCGCCATCCACAAATTCAGCTTACAATGTAGAAACCGCCTATCCACTACTACGCTTCGGGGGCAATGTTGATGATCCTTGAACCGCATGTCACAACTTGTGCAAAAACAAACAATCAGAAACATCCAAGCATCGAAATAGAAGTAGCTACTCGTATGTACATATCATTTTCCCATTCCTCTCGAGCAGCACTAACGGCCAAATACAAAACACCACGCTATTTGTTTTTGCTGCGATGCCGTCGTATCAATCCCTAGGGTCCCTCAGAAGATCCCGAGACCGTCTCATCTGTAGCGGTTCAACATCTTCCGTGACCCGGGCATCGCGAGCGTCCATCTGGCTCTCCAACGGGTGACGTCTCGATTGAGTGGTTTCAAACTCGTTCAACTGGAGTTCACTATCCGTCGGATGGAACCGTGTGTCGTACTTATTGGAAGTGATGCCCCTCTCTGGTGTGTTATGCTGCCTGGCTCCCCAACTCGGCCCAGCTCCATCACGCTGGAGAGGATATCTGTTCGGCCCCCGCGCATCCCTCTCGTCGAGGTCCATAATAGGCGGCGGCGAAGAATGTCCCGGAGCTACCAGCCGCGGCGAGCTGCTAGGGCTCATATCGATCAACTGTACCGGCTGCGCAGGCCGCTCGGTCCCCCCGCTCCTGCCACTTCCGCTTCTTGCACCACCGCTCCCCCCACCGTTGCGCACCCATCCAACGGTTCTCTGCACAGCTGCAAGCGGCGAGCCCGGCCCAGCTTCCCTCTCCGTCACTTCTTCCGCCCGATGCCGCATACCTCTCCACTCGTCGGGCCGCATATCCTCCCATACAGTCGGCGGGGCGATGTGAGATCCTTCCGTGGACTCGGTCGGAGCATATGGGTCTGGAGCCTCCGAGCGGCGATCGGCAACCGACGACGGGGTTTGAAGGTATCCTCTGGTACGGTGTGGAACATATGTCGTTCCCGGCTTCAACACAATTTCCGGGGCTTCTGTCTGATAGTTCTGTGGCGGCGGCTCATATCGTCTCTGCGACATCGCCGACGGCACACGCCCACCATCATAACCCCTCCACGGATCCGAGTTTTGTACGGCGATCGTCGTGCTCAGACTATCGGATCTGGTCTGCTGGGTAGATGGGGGCCGCTGCGGCGGCGGGGGCGCTTGTTGCAGCCTCATCAACTCCATCTGGGCGGCTTGGAGGCGCGCTTTCTCCGCCTTCCGCCTCTTGTGCTGCCACCAGGCATAGAAGCCTAGCAATGCCAAACCGATGATGCCGACTGCGGCGCCGACTGCGGCGCCGATTGTGGCGCCGGTACTCATCTCTTTAGATCCTGCCGCTGGGGTCACGTGCAGGGTTGTGCTTCCAGGGGGCGCTGGGACCGTCGTAGTTATATGTATATTGCCGCTCGTCGAGCCGCCGGAAGTGACGGTGAAGATCATGGTGGTGACAGAACCCGCGGGGGGTAACGGGTAGACTGTGGACACTGTCTCCACGTAGTGGGTCATCACCGAGTTGTCGTGCGTGACGGTCGTGAGATAACGGACAGTCGTCAGGCTTCCTTCGGGCTCGTGGTCCCGAGGTATAAGCGGGATATTTGTGGTAATTTCTTCATCTCGATAATATCTCTCCGTTGTTTCTGGTTGTCCGATATCCCCTGTTATGATGGCCAGGTGGAACGCTGTGGGGGTCGCCGCGATGATGGTTGCAGTTGGTGATGGTTCCGCCATAACTAAGGGTTATTTGGTCCGTGGTTGATAAGAACGTGGGAGGAATGGAATGAGTCGAGGATGGAAGGCAGCTACTTAAGACGGAGAGCACGGGGCAAACATTTCACTGGCGGCTCGGAACTAGGTATTGAAAGACGAGATTGAATGATGGCCCCGGTCATGTGCTTCAACCCACTCACACAAGCAGAGGTGTACTGCTCTGGGTAGCGTTTTTTTTTGTTTGATCATCAATTGCTTGCAACCTAAATAGATCATGGCAAAGTAGTAAGTACAGCTTAGGGTGGCATAAAATATGTTCAAATCCAGAAATTCATACGGAGTGCGATACTGCGATGCAGACCTGTATTTACTTCTAGAATTACATGACCACCATTTCTCGTCGAGTCCTTCGCTCCGGGTCCATCTCTCCTATGACTTCGGTTTCTCGCGAAATCAACCGGAGAGGTAGTGGTAATAGTAGCAGTCGACATAGTAAGAAAATACGAGACTGAGGAGCACTCGTCACAAAGTTTCAATTATTGCGGACTTTAACTTGCAGCAGAACTCCAAGGCTGGGGAGTATAATAGCATCATTTCGTGAATTGCACAATCCACCTTTCCTCAGCAAAACTCTAAAATCCGTGTGATACGTTATGAAGCGGCGATTTTATTTTCATTTTTTCCTCCAATTCTAAACATCTCAGTATGCGGTCTACCTTCATCTTCCAGAAGATATCGGATCGTCACTCAAGCCGGCTCACGTTTCACTTCTTCTCTTCAGCGCTTCACCGATTCACAGTCGGCCCATCTGGGGTTGGGGAGATCGCCGTCTATTGTATGGTTGTGTTTGTGTAACTCTTGAACTAGGGGGTCGAGTCCCCAATTGCAGGTTTCCGGCTGAGTTCCCATAGAGATATTGTGGCCTTTCATTTCCATTGTTTTGTTGGCTATGCGAGAGGGCAAGGAGGTCCTGGTGTGGTTGGAGTGCGGACGGGACTCGGGAGACAAGACGTGATGCCACAGTGATACGCTCGCGCTGGATCTACATCACGTTGTATCGGTTCGAACAGAATATGATGAAGAGTGGACAAGAGACGCTATATAGGTTCCTAAGTAAGATTTACACTATGAGGCCTTTTTTCTTCTACTTCCGTCATACAGTGTCTAGCCTGTAGAGACAACAGACCGCCGGTCCCCGCTCCCGCGACCTCCGACCGAAGCCGCGGCACAGTTCGGGTTCGTTTCACCCCTTCTTCCGCCTTCGAGGGGTGATACTGCATGGTGTGTGATTGAGTAAGTACTTAGAAAAATCAATGATGCGTCCGCTAAGCTTTCGTGATCGTTCATTCATTCACGCCCTATTTTTATATACATAATATCGCCGCCAGCATATGTACAGCCTGGTAGCCGCCTACTCAAAGTTCGTGCACTTCATGATACCTACGCACAATCAGTTAGCTCATGCTCTCTCGAAATCTACACGAAGCAGGACCCTACCTTTGAACTGTAGTCCGGTAATGAAAAGATCACCCTTCGGCTGGCCCGTTGTCTGCTCCTCGACCATCATTTCCTCGTCGTCCTGCTCCTCTTGCTTGGCCTTCACCGGCGCCTCAATCTTATGCGCCTTAAACACGGACGTCGTAGTCATGTTTCCCAGCTTTCCATCGTCCTTGATCAGCAACTCGACAATTGGATCAGCGGTGTACCCGCCACCAAAGAACCCGCCACCGAGCTGCTTGGTGTTGATCCTCTTGACGACCATCCCGGGAGATCCCGCTGTCTCAGGGTCTCGCATATAGTGCTCAACCGGCAGGCCCTTCGCAGGCCCAGTGATGTACAGATCATCACCGAACCGTCCGAGATTATCACCGAGCATGCCCACCTTCACCTGCTGCACCTCCTTCAGCTCGCCCTCGTCGCCAACAGGCTCAAGCACACGGATGATGCCCCTAAAGATCTCAGAGACATAGACGCGTCTACCGTCGACAGACTTATCGCCGGCGATACCGTTGGCACTAGCCACATTCTCGAGCACCTTCTTCCAGCCCGTCTTGTCGGAGTAGAACGAAACCCACGCCCACTGGCGCTGTGTAATCTCTTCAAAGATCCTCTGCGGACCGTGGGCGTACAGATGGTCGTTGGTGACAAAAATCGCGTTCTCCGCATCGCGCTCGGGAAGCGAGAAGACGTTGTTCGGGTGCGGCGGGGCGCCCGCGACAGTGGTGTTCAGCCGTGCGACGTGTGTCGCGAACGCGGTGTCGGGGGAGTGGACGAATTTCTCGACCACGCTCTCGTGGCGGAGATGGTTGATCACGTAGATACTGACGGTCTCGTCGGGGAGGACGTTTACGTCGAAGCCGTGGAAGGAGCGGGTTTCGGCGGTGCCGTCATCGCCGGGGATGCCGCGCAGATCGATCTCAACGACGCTGTCGGTGGCGGTGTCCCATCGGAAGAATTTATCGCCCGACCAAGGGCGGGGTTGACGGGAGTACTCCGGCCAGTATTTCTGGCGGTTGCGAAGATCCGTGTTGCAGGCGGTGTAGATGGTATCGTCGACCAGCTTCATGTCCTCGCAGCCGAGGAATTGATCCGCGTGCAGGAGGGAGCACGTAGACGAGAGGGCGGAGACGAAGGCATGGTAAGGTGTGAAGTCATGGTAGACGTTGAGGAGTTCGTTGGAGTTGCGGAGGAAGGGGGTCAGGACAGCGACGAGGGCTGAATAGTAATCCACGTCAGCATGCTCATTCAATTAATTATGATTACCGCCATGGATGTGCGTACCGATACTAGCCACAGCTCCGGGAAGGATGAATTTGCTCGCCATAGTGATGGCAAAGTCAGAAGATATGGTGACCGTATTTCGAGTTCCCAAATCCAGTTCTCAAGTAGATACTTTTAAACCGGCGTTCGGGACACCTTTCATCACAAGCGATGACATTGGGCCTCGGATGATCCGCACGAAAGCGGCCACTTCCAGGTAGTGCGCTGGTGGGGCCGGGACTCGGTGGGGTCGTTCGCGTCGCTATTTTCGGTTAGGCTGAGTCAGCCACGAGTCGGTTGGAAAGCCAGAAAGCTGGGGTAATGTGTGTTGTTGCCAAATGTGGCTGGTGGCTGGTGGCTGGTGGCTGGTGGCCAGATGCGGCTGACAGCGTGGCTAGATGTCCGCGGCACCGCCCCGTCCGGTGGCTGGCCGTTCACTCTCTCCATACCCACATCTCATATTTTCACTTCGGAGACTCCATTTGTCGTGTTAGAGCAGGGTCAAGGTAAAGGAAAAACCACTCCACAGCCGTCTGGCTATGTATCTACAGAAACGCCTTTGCTATCGTCCTAACTGCTCTCACAGCATCATGATAGCCAAGACTTTACAACTTGACATGACAATTTTCCGTCACGCCTCAGAATTTACGGTACGTAATTTGACAGCCCAGAAAACCAAGATGGAGTCTGACTTACTGAAGTCCGATTTCGTAAGGTAGACTAAACTACCTAGGGAAGAAACGAGTGCTGGCACGATATCCAACGGCCTGTTCGAGAACCCAGACAAGATCAAATCACGAACGGTGCGGCTGAAGGCGATGGTAGAGCAGGAGACCAATGACATCACCGTTTGCCTGCTCACTCGCCTCACACTCCAATCAAGTCCCGGCCACTCACCTGCCACTCGCTTGTCACCACGCACCTTGCGTCCACGTCCATTACGCCCAAATCCACAGCACATCCAGCACCACCATGAAGCGGCGGGCATCAGCTGAAAATATCCCAATCTTCGGCCTCTTCTCCTCACCCCATTATATCACATTCCCGGCGCCATGAACGATCTAGAACTCGGCGGACCCCTCAAAGAATCCGCCGAGGACGCCGAGCGCACGCTGGTGCGGCGTCTTGGAAGCACTACAACGGAGGAGCAACAAGGTCTTGGATCTCCCAGCGCCAGCGCCGCATTCCGAAAACAGTTGCGATCGGAAGTCGACCAGAAATTAGCGCATCCGCAGCCGAAGTAGGTTGTCTTTTTGGCGCGTTGGAGGGGAGATCGGCTGCTGATGGGAATATAGGCGATGGTGGTTCACGTCGACCGTGTTTCCGCTGATTGCGGGAACTTTTGGACCGCTGGCGAATCTGTTTAGTGTGTGTGCGCTGGTTATGACTTGGAGAGTCAGGATTCCACCGGGACAGACGGAGGCGACGGCGGAGAGGGTGCCGGATCCTTCGTGGTCTGCTTATCTGCGAGGAGGTGATGGCGTGGCGGTCGACCTGGCTGATGTTTACGTATACAGGTTGATCGCGGTGAATGCTGTTTCGCTCGTGTTTGCTATCGCGGCGAATCTACTGCTTCTACTCAACTTTGCGCATCGCGTCCGGTATGCCATCGCGCAACCGCTGACAATCGTATTCTGGCACGCAATCACTGCCGTACGTAGCATGCAGTGAGGGCTGACAGGTCGCAGGTACATATCCTCGCTCCTCCTCCTCGCACTTGTAGTCGCCGCACACAAGCACCTCCGGCTCCCGCCCAAGAATCACGCGTTCTCGCAATCCTACTACTACGGCATCATTTCCGCCGCGCTCTACTTCCTGATCTCGACACTACTCGTATGGAATGCGGTGGGCGCATACCTCTTCAAGGCGTATCCGCCATCGTTCATGACCCTCACCATCCCGCAGCGCACCTTGATGCTGCAGACGATCTCGTACACACTCTATCTATCCCTAGGCGCGGGGATCTTCAGCTCACTAGAGGGGTGGAGTTTTGTGGATGGTGTGTACTGGGCGGATTTAACGCTCTTAACCATCGGCTTTGGCAGCGATTTCAGTCCGAAGAGGCAGGTATCACAGGGGATCCTGATCCCGTACGCTGTCGGTGGTGTGATCATGGTCGGTCTCGTCGTCGGCTCAGTCCGCGGTCTGTTCCTCGAGAGAGGGAAAAGCAAAGTCCGCAACCGCGCCATCCACAAGGAACGCAAGAAGATCTTGAAGGATCTCAAGTGCTCCGACACGGACTGGAAGACCGAGTTCGAGCTTATGCGCAGTGTGCAAGACGCAGCGAACATGAACCGTCGCTGGTGGGGGCTCGGCACGGCGCTCATCGCGTTCCTGATCGTGTGGTTCGGCGGAGCGATTGTCTTCTCGCATTCAGAGCAGGACCAGGGTTGGACCTACTTCCAGAGTCTGTATTTCACGTACGTCAGTCTGCTCACCATCGGATATGGCGACTACTACCCGCAAAGCAACTTCGGCAAGCCCTTCTTCGTCGTCTGGTCGCTCGTGGCCATCCCGGCGGTAACAATCCTTATCTCGAGCATGGGTGACACCGTGGTCGGCTGGGTAAAACACGGCACCCTTTGGGTCGGCCAGAAAACGATCCTTCCCGAGCGCCACGGCAAGAACATGGAGAAGGGGCTGTCGTCGAAATCCCCCGACCGCGTCGAGCGCGAAGCCGACGGCGAGAAAGAGCTACCCCGCGATGTCGACCCGGAACTATCCGGACTGCGCTCAGATCTATCCCACCTCGGGCACGCGATCGAGCATCGCGAAGAGACAGCCGAGGCGATAGATCCTGTCCCAGCAGAGAAAGGGAAACACCATCTCGGCGCCAGGATCGCGAAGGAGATATCCAACCTTGCTACGGATATTGGGAAGGAGCCGCCCAGGAAGTATGACTGGGATGAGTGGAAGAGTTTTTTGGAGTTGCTGGGGGAGACGGAGGATACGGGGAAGGAACAAGAGGAAGTGGAATGGAAATGGCTCGGTGATGATGGTCCGCTCCTCAGTGCGGGCACGGAGACGGAATGGATTATGGCGAGATTATGTGAACATCTACAGAAGGTGCTGTTGGAGGAGAAGGAGTAGCCGGAGTGGAGGCGTTCAAGCTCTACTACTATACATACGGGGTTCAGGTAGATATAGAGTGTTTTTAATCATCCCGCTGTGCGTGGCTGCATACTTATCTACAGAAATATGACTTCATTGTTTTTCCCATACGTCCATGCCAAACTAGTCCTGTCATCCCGTACATATAGCACAGTAGGCAGTGACTAGAGTACCGTCAGCCTCAACTCTTGTCTGTGGATCATCAAGGAGCATTCGAATAAAGTAAAATTGTGACAAGATGGAGATGGCTATGGGGGAAGAATTGTAGTGAGAAGGGGGTAGGGAATTGACGTCTTTCAAGATATGGACCACACCTACCATCTTGATCACTCACGTCGTCTCATAAAATATCACTCGCTTTGTTATCCCGCTGCTGCATCTTCAGAAACAAACCCCACCACAGTCCCGCAGGCTTCACAAACGAGGCACTACAATATTATCTCCCATAAGGAGTTAAAGCCGATGAATCACGAGAGCTTGCCTTAGAGCCGACCTTAGGTAAGTGTGTATTTGTTGATTCGATTGACATATCTTTCTTTGAAGCTGAGAATTCGGCAGACTGGCTCTACTTGGTACACTAATAGTCCCTTTCATAGCATCAAGTCGGCGCACCACTGCTCCCGGTATCTACATAGGAATACAAAGGCACCATACACCCCTCCCTAGACCTGCCATTGTGACCAGCGGCCGATAATTACTTACGAGCCGGCGTTGGCTAATTACTTAATTTCTCACTTGTTACGCATGCACAGGATCGCACTCGCTTGAGCCGGGGTTTGAACACGTTTACGCGAGTTGGTAAGAAGCTGGGTAGGTATGAAACGATATCTAGATAGAGAAGTAGAATACTGTCATCTTCTAAGTTCAAGTAGAGTAGAGCTGCTGTGGCTGACCTCGTCGCGGACGCCTTTCTGAATGCTCAGTGTTTGCGCAGACCCAAGCGATGCGTTGCTATGGCAACCGCATGCAACTATCGGAAAGGGCTTCCGTGCTGACTCCCCAGCCCCATCCACGGGTGTACCTACCTATGCTAAACTGAGACCTTCAGTCAGTCACCAGTGGCTGGGTACTCGAGTACCTATCGGCCATCTGGCAGCCGCTCAGTTCTGCTTCGGGGTAGTCTGAGCGCTGACTCTTCCCGACAGGCACAGCCCAACCTGGAGTCCTGAACCCTGCAAACGGAGGTGGCGTCTGGATCTGGGGACCGGGGTTGGTGTGCTTGCGCCATCGACGGCGCGTGACAGCTCCTTGCGCCGGGTTGCGGATTATTGGTTCGGATACGGTAGTCTCCTCCTCATCGGCTATGATGGTCGGAGAGATTCCGACGTCCCCGCTTCATCACGCTCGTAACTCTATTATGGTCGCCGCCTGCCAGTCATCGGGTTCTAGCCCGACTGCTGCTATATAACTGTCGCCGAAAGATACCGTATCGATGCCGACGGCCGAGCTGGAGGAGTCAAAGATAGCGGGAGTGGAGGTGCCTGCCAAGCCACCGTAGACAACTGGGGTTATCGGAGGTGGCGGGGGCAAGGATCATTGGGGATGGTGACACGTGAACTCCCGGTCCGTGCCCGTAGGTATTCGCCTCAAGTGACGGACACTGATAGATAGATAGAGCTCCTGCGATAGTTAACCTCCTCATCTCCATCTTCCTTCAGCTTCCTTCTCGTTACATCCAGCCATCGTACATACACCTCCTACATACAGTCTTCTATAATCTTCATCTCAACGTAAACATTCACATTCACATCACGATGCGTACCCCCAGCACTACGAGTCTGCGTGCCACCGCCGCCGCCCAAGACCGCGATACCCTCGACATCGAGAGCGCGGTCGTCCGCTTCCTCCGGACGGGCGCACGCATCAACGCAGACGGCAACATTGTCAACGCCGCGAACGAGCCTCTGGACCTCGCCAGCGTTCTCGAGAGCCTCCCGTCGCGCCACAAGAATGCCACGAGCAAGAGCAAGAACAAGTCCGCGAAGGACATCTGTCCGGCCGAGTACACGCAGCCGTTCATGGAGTTCATCGACAGCAGTCCCACGGTGTTCCATGCCGTGTCCTACTTCAGCAAGCGGCTCGAGGGCGAGGGCTTCGTTAAGCTCAGCGAGCGCGAGTGCTGGCAGTCGAAGCTGAAGAAGGGCGGGAAGTATTTCACGACCAGGAACGGATCGTCGATTGTCGCGTTCAGCATCCCCACCGCGTACGAGCCTGGTAACGGTGTTGCGATGGCCGCCGGACATATCGACGCGTTGACGGCGCGGCTGAAGCCTATCTCGAAGAAGCCCAACAGCGCAGGTTATGTGATGCTCGGTGTTGCGCCGTACGCGGGCGGAATGAACTCCACCTGGTGGGATCGGTATGTACAATATGCTCGGCGGAGTCTGCTTTGGGAAGAGTCGCGTTACTGATAGATGGACCTGCAGTGATCTCGGTGTCGGTGGACGCGTTATGGTCAAGACTTCGGACGGCAAGATCGAGAGCAGATTGGTAAACCTCGACTGGCCGATCGCGCGTATTTCTACTCTGGCGCCGCACTTCGGCGCCGCGGCATCCGGGCCGTTCAACAAGGAGACGCAGATGACTCCTGTGATCGGATTGGAGAAGTGAGTTCGCTGTTACTACTGTAGTTGGAGATGGGTGGCTAACAGCACGTACAGCTCTGAGGATGAGCAGTTGACCATGCCCGCCGGCACCTTCGCGGCTAGCCAGCCCGCACGTCTCGTCAAGGCAATCTCATCCGAGCTCGGAATCCAAGACTACTCCTCCATCATCAATTGGGAGCTCGAGCTCTACCAGTTTGAGCCCTCGAGGCTAGGAGGTCTCTCCAAGGAGTTGCTGTTCGCGCCGAGAATCGACGACAAGCTCTGTTCGTGGGCTGCGCTGGAGGGAGTCATTGAAGCTAGCAAAGACTTAGAGGGCCGGGGCACCGTGAATGCCTGCGCTTTGTTTGACGACGAGGAGATTGGCAGCCAGCTGCGTCAAGGTGCTCGGGGAAACCTATTGAGTGGTGCCGTGGAGCGCATCATCGAAGCTTTCTCGAAAGATGGAAAGGCTGGAGCAGTAAGACTATCACCTACCCACGCAAAATACCTGTATGCTAACACTGGGGACTAGAACGTTGTGAACCAGACCTACGCCAACAGTTTCCTGCTGTCGGCAGACGTCACTCACGCCGTCAACCCCAACTTCTTGGGTTCTTACCTGCAAGACCACTCGCCCAAGCTCAACGTCGGAATTACAGTTGCCGCCGACCCCAACGGACACGTATGTTTACCCACGCATCTTCTCCTACCGTGTGTACACGATACTAACTATATGCATAGATGACGACCGACGCCGTCTCCTCCGCGCTGCTCCAGCGCATCGCCGAAAAGAGCGGACACACGCTGCAGGTCTTCCAGATCCGCAATGACTCGCGCAGCGGCGGCACAGTCGGCCCCATGCTCAGTTCGGCTATGGGCTGCCGCGCGATTGACGCCGGAATGGCGCAGCTCTCGATGCACTCCATCCGCGCAGCGTGCGGCTCGCTCGATCCCGGTCTGGGCGTCCAGATCTTCACGGGCCTCTATGAACACTTTGAGTCTGTCGATGCTGAGTTCGCAGAGTAAATGCTCGGTCGCGGAGGGGAGGGGAGGGACGGGGACGGGACTGTATTATACCCTACTTAGATTCGGAACGGATAAATAGATGGATCATGGAAGTGAAGCGAAGGCCGCGTGTAAACTTTCTTTTTTCTTTAGGCTGCTTCCTGTGTAGATTAGGGGAGGTACCGTACCTACATAATCGATACCTGCTCCATAGATGCAATGCATCAGTACATACTTCACCGAGCTCCTTTCTTTCTGCGTGGGCCCAGATCAAATAAGTACCTATATACCCTCCGTTCGCATACCCGCACCAACTTGAAATTACATAGTTACGCGTACATACATAAGGACATATGTCGCAAAATACCCGCAAGCGATGTCGTCAAGCGGCGGCGGTCATGCGTAAGTAGGAAGTAAACATGTAATTTCGCCTTTGCCGTGCCTTGTAGAACTGCACGCAACGACGTCTATCTCGCCTTGTCCCAACCACCCCCCGACCACCCTCCGACCACCCTCCCTCCCGACGGACGCACGCTAGGCACGCGGCGAAGACCACGAAGACGACTACAACGACGACACCAGCGGCCAGGCCCCAGGCACCGGGAAAACCGGGGTTCAACCGGGCAACCGGGCGTTATCCATGATACATAGTCTGCCGTAATCATCAGGTGTTCCCGCAATCCGCAGCCCGTCGCCCGCTGGGACATAAGCGACAGTTACAGTTACAGTGACAGTGACAAGTCACCGCCACGTACATATCATACATACATACATACATACCAGCAATCTCTGTATGTAGAGTAGAGTATGTAAGCTCGGGCCACCACCCCCACCACCACCTGCGTGTGGACGGGCGAATGCGAGGTGACAACCTGCCAGGCGGTGACAGCCAGGCGGTGAGTGAGAGCTGAGTTGGGTTAAGTTGGGTTGAGTTGAGTTGAGCTGGACTGTACTGTGGCTGCCTAGAAAAGGGGGCTGATGTGTGTCGATACACGGTACACAGATATCACTCGGCTGTTCCTGGTGCCAGTGGTTCCTTTTGGTGGTGGTGCCTGTGCTGAGTGGTGGTGGTACAGCAATCCGTTGGCTGCTCATTTACAACGAGGCGCGCTGGGCGAGACGCAAGTATGGGACGTCGGATGACAGTGAAGCCTGACGGAAGGAATGCGACCGTCGGACAGTCAGTCACACGGACGGGATCAAAATTCGCAATGCAAACATTGGAAGATTGTATTCGCGATGGGTCGATGATGGGTATTGTTTGATTGCATACGAACACTCATTCACTCGGTGTTCTCCGCACGAGCGCACGACCGTGGAGTAGGTGCACCTTGCATGAGTGTAATTCATCACATTAGGCTTCACGAATAAGTCCGCGGGCCTTGGATTAGAGTGCCGTAGATAGGAATCGAAAGCCGTCCACATTCTAGGTGCGGTAGCAGTAGCTGGGCACCAGAGCGCAGGGCTGCATCCGGGACGATACATACTTGGTAGGTAATTGGGTACTCCACGCTGACCGTCGGGGGTGTTCTGGGGGCGGCGTTCGGGTCCCGACGCGCAAAACTTGCCCACTCGGCCCGGCTATGTGGTGCTCCTCTGTCTAGCTTCAGGCTGTCAGCGCTCACGCTCACCGGATTATCGGCGGTCAGACTGCATGCCGAACCGAGAGGAAGATTCTCTGCTCGCCCCCAAATTGCTTGTCTTCACCCCCACGTTCTTATTCCGTCCGTACCTGTGAGATGGAGAGGAGCAGGTACGGTACGGCTGAAGTTAGAACGTGTACCTACTTCACCGGAGAGGGAGTGATCACGGGTGTTCATCTGCGAGGGCTTTTCCCGGTGCCCACACTCCGTCTATTCGCGAAGTGGCAACTCCATCCATTGCGAGTGTATTGTGCTGGGGGTGGGCGAAGCTCGTCCGTTCGATGTTCATGTTCATGTGCGGGGAGCGCGGCGTCCATACGAGGCAAGTCTGTCCATGTTTGTATGTAGAGTGTCATAACGCCTTGAGAGAGAGAGAATAGATAGCTGCGTTCTCAAGCGAGGCGCACTCCTCCTCATCACACCCGCTGATCCGATGCTAAGCTTTCATCGTCGCTGGCCACCCCCGGCGTCAGCGTGAGTTGTCTTTCCTGGGGCCTAGATAGGTGTTTACATATTTAGTGTACACGGATGATCTCGTATGTATGTAGGCAGCGCCGCAGCGATTGTTCGATTCTCCAGCCAAGGAAATGGGTAAGTACATGGATTGTTCGATTCCCCAGCCAAGTGAGTAGGTAAGAACATGTGTGTAGGCAGCAATTGTTCGATACTCTGCCCAAGTAAGCAAGTACATGTGTGTTGTGCAGCGTTGATCCGAATGGTGCCGGTGGTTCCGGGTGTGTGTCCGCGGGGTTGGTTGCTGGGTACTGGGATCGAAAGTAATCACGATCCATTCGATAAGGCTGGGCTGGGCTGGCTGGGGCCAGGATATCTACTTGTTAGTTATCCGCCCATAACTATAGGTACCTACTCTATGGATAGAGTACATACCGTACATACTGATTCTGCAGTCTTTGGCGAGCGTGCCCAGCATCGCATACCTAGTACGGGAAGTTTTGTTTAGGTAACTCAGTGTATAGTAAGGTTCGGTCTTCGCAGCGCTGCACGAATGAAGTGATTGGACCAGTCTGCTGTGCCTTCGTCCCATGTTCTCACCTGCATGTCGTCAGGCAAAAAAAATAAAAACCTGGTAGAATGAACACACACAAACACACGAACACTGGAACTGGATCGTGGACGCCCGCTTAGCCTTGAGAGTTGATACCCAGCGGAAGGCCGTTCCTTCCGTGGGTGTCCGTTGTCATTGACGTCGTCGGAAGGAACTACGAGCATGTATGACTCGCCATGGACTGCTGGTCTGGATGTTAGCTGGAGGGATTGGTATGCTCCTTCCGTACGATCATTCGCCGGGGGGAAAGGAAATCTTGAGAGAGGACGGTACTTTCTGCGGGTCACATCGATTCAGCCGATGCCGGTCGTTCATATTTTCAGCAGTTCACCGTTGACCGGTCGCCATGTACATACTTAGATTCTTGGGGGCACGGAATTTAGCGTCGAGCGGCCACATGTCGAAGTCTCGCCTTGCCAGCGTGCGGGTTGGAAGGCGAGCGACTTCGGCACCGGAGGGCCCGCTGAGCTGAGAATTGTATCCCGCATTCCAGCCGTAGCTGAAGGGGTTGCTCGAGTGCGGTCCTTATTGGTGCCCGCAATCGCGAGATATGCTGACCGCCACGAGCGAAGCGAAGGAGAGAGACAAAGCCATTTCACGCTCACGGGCGGGCCGGGACATGTAGGATTCGATGCGCAGGCCGGCAAAAGCCGCGGCCACCGCCATCCCTGCTCGGTCGTGTTGGCAAGTGTGGTGCATTCTGCAGGCAGTCATAGGCGTGCACTCTGAAGAACATTTTTGAGTGAGAGTGTGAGTGTGAATGGGTGTGGGAGTGGGTGTGGAGGTAGGAGTGGGGGACTAGTGTGGGAGTGGGCGTGGGAGTGGGAGTGAGGCTCAGTGAGCTCTGGACGGGGATGGATTGTGAGGCTCTGGCGGCTGCGGTTAGAATCTGCAGGGTCGTATCCGATGCGTATTAATAGTATCGCACTTCTAATTTCTGATGTCAGACACCGACACTCCGACGACCGTCCCGCGCGCCGGCAGACAGATATTCGACTCACAATCAACTAGCTGCCATGCAGATGCAAGATGATGCTCCAACCGCACATCGTGACCGTGAAGCGGAAGGTGGTTTGGTTCGCTATCTATCTGTCTCTCCTTCTTTCCGCACAAACATAGTACGATAGCTGAACGCGCTACAGCCATCCAGTCCATCCAGTCCAGCCAGCCCAGCCACCGCCGCGCTGTCGATCCCATCGCCTGTGGATAAACTATGAAGTAAGTATGGCTCCGCCAAAGTGCAGGCATGAGCAGTGGAATAATCGAGTAACCTCTTTCCAACAGCGTTGCACTAGTTGGCAACTGGTTGGCTATCGCAGTCTGCAACTTGGATCCAGTCGACACAAATCATGGGGGGCCTTTCGAGTAGTGCCAGTGCTGCTTGTTTGCATCTCGAGACTTTTCAGCTCATCCGCTGCTTCTTCTCCGACAGACTGCCGGTTTCGATCCAAGAAAGCGAGGGGAAGCAGGAAAAAATAAGAAAGACAAAAATAAGCACTCATGCAGATCTGGATCTGGATCTCGAGGTGGGGTGGAGGTTGACTCGAGGCGGTGGTCGGCCTAACCGTTCTTCCACCGCACAGCCGACACCGGACTCACCTTCGCTTTTGCTCTCACGATATCTCCAAGGCGGGCAATCTCTGCAATGCTTGCTCCCCTCAACGGACTGGGGGATGATCTCGCCCATGTTGCGGGGATACGAGGTGAAGACTCAAGAACCTGTCAGCCCGTCTATTGTTGGCTTGCCGGTCGGTCGGTCTCTTGTCCTGTCTTCCACCGCCTCCACTATGTAGAGTATCCGCAAAGTCCTCAGCCTTCACGCTGCATGGCAAGGACAGGGCCTTGGCTTATTGGCCTGTTGTTCTTATTCGCCAATCGACCAACACTGTACTTTGTTGCCTTTTGACAGACCACGGCATGGGGTCCTGGTGGACGGTACACACCGGTCTTATCCGTTTGTGTGATGGCTACTCGACTCAAAGTACATACATTCTATGTACTCAGCCCGGTCGCACGCTCGCTTCCACCCCATGAACTTGCACCCAGCCTAGAAGTTGACTATCATTCGATCTCGCTCGAAAATAGCCACTGTACTAGTGTACTAGTACTATACCATGTCGTTACCAGTCAGCACCGCTTGCAGGGTCCCAGATGGTACCTGAAGTCTCGTGGCAGACCTCGATTACTGCGAATGGAAGCGGACGCCATAGCAGCAGATGAGGTTTTTTTCATGGAGGCAGTGTTGCGGAAGGAGGGACGAAAGGTGACCAGAGCAAAAGGTACCGGAGGGCCTGATGAACTCAATGGGATATAAGACACTCTGACATCCGCATGTTGAAGATTTCCTCCCCATCCTCCTCACAGATCATCACCACGTCCCAACAGCTTCTCTTACAATCATCACAGCATCACAGCAAGATGGTTTCTCTCTCGTTCATGTTCGCTGCAGTGGCAGCATTGCTTCCGATCGTTTCTGTTACTGCTCAACCCGGAGCAGCTCCCTCTGGCCGAGTATCGCCGCCTTATAATCACGACTTCGAGTATCCGGTTCCGATTCCTCCTGTCAAGAAACCCATGACGTGAGTTTTTCTCCTCCCATTCATCCCCTTGGACGCAGCCGCTCTGACATTTCTTTCCCAATAGCACATACACCGACAGGAAGACTGGCACAAAGATCGAGTTCTATGAGGTCAAGATCAAGGAGTTCACCAAGAACCTCTTCCCCGACCTCGAGGATGCCACCCTCATCGGATACGACGGGATGGTCCCGGGCCCCACCTTCAAGATCAAGAAGGGCACCGAGACGGTCGTTCGCTTCGTCAACGAGTACTTCCGAGAGTCCTCGATCCATCTTCACGGCTCCTACAGCCGTGCTCCGTTCGACGGATGGGCTGCAGACACTATCAAGCCCGGACAGTACAAGGACTACTACTACCCCAACAAGCAGAGTGCCCGCACTCTGTGGTACCACGATCACGCTCAGGGAATCACCTCACTGAACGCCTATGCCGGCCAGGCTGGCTTCTATATCGTCGAGGACGAGGCCCTCGAGGAGAAGTTCGACCTTCCCCGCGGCAAATACGACATCCCGCTCATGTTCCAGTCCCGCTTCTACACCGCCAACGGCAACATCAGTGACGAGAGCGCGCAGCGCATCTCGACTTACGGTGACACCTACTCGGTCAACGGCCAGATCCTTCCCCACCTCGAGGTCGAGCCCCGCAAGTACCGCTTCCGCTTCCTCAACGGTGCCGCCTCGCACACCTTCAACTTCACGCTCGAGAGCAAGGGCGATTACGGCGAGACCGAGAAGGTTCCCATGTGGGTCATCGGCTCGGACTCTGGTTTCCTCTCCCACCCTGTCGAGACCGAGTCCCTCGTGCAAGCCATGGCCGAGCGCTGGGAGGTCGTCATCGACTTCTCCCAATACAAAGGCCAGAAGCTCACTCTCAAGTCCGCCGACACCTTCGCCGACACCATCTTCTACGGCACTGGCAACGTGATGCAGTTCCGCGTCGGCCACAAAGTCACCAGCCGCAAGGGCAACGGCCCGCTCCCCGCCAAGCTCGTCGACCTCGACCTCCCCGTCAACCACGAAGCCGTCGACCAGCACTTCCAGTTCGGCTTCGGCCCCAAGGGCCCGCCCCCCGCCGGAGAGTGGACCATCAACAACCGCTCCTTCGCCGACGCCAAGAACCGCATCGTCCGCAACGTCCCCCGCGGCACCACCGAGAAGTGGACGCTGCAGGGCGGCGGCGGCTGGTCGCACCCCATCCACATCCACCTTGTCGACTTCCAGATCATCGCGCGTGAGGGCGTCACTCCGCGCGCCGGCACCAACACGACCATCGGGCGCAACTACGTGACACCCTACGAGGCGGCCGCGCTCAAGGACGTCGCCGCTCTCGGCACCAACGAGAAAGTGACCGTCCTCGCCAAGTACGCGCCCTGGGACGGCGTGTACATGTTCCACTGCCACAACCTGATCCACGAGGACCACGACATGATGGCGGCGTTCAACATCACCTCCCTCCCGGATTTCGGCTACCCCGAGACCACAAAGTTCATCGACCCCATGGACCCCCGCTTCCGCCCCCAGGAGTACCGCGGCACCTCCATCCGCACCCTTAGAGACGAGGTCCTCCCAAACTTCGCAAAGCTCCGCGCTTACAAGGACGTCAAGAAGGTCGAGGCCGCCCTCGAGGAGTACCATGCCACCCGCGTCGGCCCCGCGCTCACCGGCAATGCCATCGCCGAGATCGCTGAGCCTACCGCTACTGTGGCCTAGGCTAACCACCCTTAACCACCCATCTCTCCTCTTCTTGTCTTTTCTTCTTTCCTATTCATGAGCATTGCGACAGGCGTTTTTGATTATCTCTTCCTTTTTTTCGTTTATCATTTTCATTTTCGTTTTTCTATTTTTCCGTTTATGATGTTTGATGTTTGCTTTGGACCTCGAGTTTGCGGGGATAGACTTGCACTTGCGTTGCGTTGCATCGGTAGCTTGGAATTTGCATGGGCTGGGATTTATGAGTGTGCGATAATCGGGAGGATGATGGATCTATTGGCATGGGGAGAGGTGGAGGAGCGGAGGGGGGATGAGGGGAGGGGGGTGAGGGGATGAGAGGATGAGTAATAGCGGAGGATACAAGACATGGAGGATGACATGGAGGATACGAAAGTTACGATCAGGGGAGGGGGTGGGGAGGAGCGGGGAGACGGAGGATGGGTCGGACATGGGGGCATGGCGATCAAAAATTATTATTTAATGATAAATCTTGAATCTTTTCACTCATTTGGACTGTTGTGCACCTCTTCGCTGCGATTGTGACGCCTCGCCTCAGTGGCCGAATGAGTTTTTCTGGGGGTGTTCACTGTTCGGTGTAATGGTAAGCGATGCATGGTTCATGACTCGGTTTGTGCGATGATGAGCATTTTTTTTGTTTATCATTGCATTCTTTCGCTATAGTCTATATAGGCTACATGCGAAATAAACTGAAGATCTTTGTCTCTCTCATAGCCAGTGCAACAACATCGCAGCCAAATATCATAGAGGAGGGCTCCGTTGGCCGTGGAAATAGGGTCAAATCGGGTTCAACGGTGTACCTAGGTAGGACACGTCACCACGGGTATCGATTCCGCCCAGTGCCCGTCATAGATCCCGCGCAGTGCGCATTCTGCAGAGAAATGACAAATCCTCGCAGGAGATGCACAGCGATATGTATGCAGTGCGTCTGAACGCAGGGCAGCGGGCAAACCCGCGGAAGGTCCCGAATCGGCGTCAGCCAGCATCTCGATTCTCACCCGGGGCAGGGCTCGGTATATCCCCTCGTATAGCTTACGTGCGCGGTTGTTGCTGCTGTATGCTTGTTCTCGGCCTCGGCACGTGCCGTCTGACCTCGTCTTCCACCCGTATCATCGGTACCTCGAGGAATACGGCACGGTGGAAATCGCCCCGCCCCGTATTCCATTTACGGTAAACGAAGGAAATACTTAGCACTACGGCTAGAGTGTTACTCCTAAACTCGTATCATATAGCTCGTGTAAGCTTTTGCGATCCGACATACCCGAGTGATCCACGGAGCTAACCATGCGATACGTGCACCTAGTGGGCCCCACCTCGCACGGATGACAGGGCTGGTTTCGTATCGTATCGTATTGCGGAGTAGATCACACCAGACTACGCTGCACAAAAGGTCACGCAGAGTACATGGTGTGCCACAGTTGCTTTGGGCTAGGTACGTTTCTGCCCAAAAAGAAGCCGGCTTGCTGGTACTATTTGTGGTTGCATTGGCCCTTGGGCTGCCGTTCGATACTCAATACGCAGAGATACCGTATTTGGGTTTATGGGACACAGTAAATGGACAGTTGGACAGTAGGTGGGTGATTCGGTTAATTTCACGGACTCACAAACAGCTATGAAGAGAATAAGCTACGATGCTCCCGGCCCAGGCCAGAGATTCGCTCTCAAAGCCTAGCAGGCGGTAAGGAAAATCAACACCAGGGATTTTGCTTGTGTCGGCCCGAGGCGGGTGGGCAGGGGAAGTGGGGTGCCGCATCGGACTGGTCGGTACCGGGGCTTTCACCTTGACTGGCCAGGGCGGACAAGTAACGGAGGTCGTGGGTTCGCCATAGTATAGATAGGCTGCATGCGAAATCAAACAGGAAGATCTCTCTCTCTCTCAACACCAGGGTTGACGCTCGGGGAGGGCTGGGCAGAGAGCAATAGGGAACCAGTATTGAACTCATTGCTTCCACGAGTTCTAGATTGGATGCAACTAAGTACTCAACATGAGCCGCCCAAGCACTGCACCAACCTGCTCTCCTTTCCTCGCCCTCTCGCATAGCAGCCAGAGAAGCAATGAAAAAAAACAGGGGATCCAGTCAGAACATCTGCAGCTGAGCGCCCAGACCCCAATTCCAAAAAGTAAGCAAACAGTACCAGACCAACACATAGAGATACTCTCATCGCAATCGACCCGCTGCGAATCACTGAATCGTAGAGGAATCGAAATAAGCGATGACCTGATATGTGTGTTGGCCTGGTATGTTCGCAGATGATAAGGAGAAAGGAGACAGTTGGGGAGGGGAGGGAGGCTTTTATAGGTGTTGGCGGGTTCTCGATTTCGCAGAAGCATAGTCGGTCACTCGGCGTTGCTAGCCCTAAGAACTAGCGTCACAGGCGGCAACACCAGGAAAGTTTTTCCTTTGTGAAATCCGGTGGTAGGCAGCGGCGCAGTAACGGGCCATAGTGGTAGAGCTGTACACAGCGTAGGTAGGTTAAAGAACCAAGAAACTGCAACGCCGGTTACGCCGCTGGATGGGCCGCTGCCAGCCAAAAAAATAACATAGAAAATCACACCAAGAACATATCACTGCATATCCTCATTTCTTACTTCCTCGCACCGGCCGCAGACGCATTACCCTGCTGGGCACCCTTGTTAGGTCCCGATGCGATGCTTTCCTCCTCCTCATCCTCCTCCAGGTCTGGTGGAGCTTTCCTCAATTTTTCCTGGTGTTGCCGCCAGTGACGCTAGTGCCTAGGGCTAGCGACGACGAGTGACCGCTCATGCGGGGGCGAAATTTTGATTCCAAGAACTCCCACAACACCTATAAAACCCTCTCTCTCCTCCCCCACTCTCTCCTCTCTCTTTTCTCCCCACCATCATCGGTGAACATACCAGGTCAACACACATATCAGGTCATCGCTCATTTCGATTCCTCTGTGATTCACCGAGTCACAGCGGGTCGATTGGGGATGAGAGTATCTCTATGTGTTGGTTAGGTACTGTTTGCTTACTTTTTGGAATTTGGGTCTGGGCGCTCAGCTGCAGATGTTCTGACTGGATCCCCTGTTTTTTTTCAGTGCTTCTCTGGCTGCTATGCGAGAGGGCGAAGAAAGGAGAGCCAATGGGTCTGGCGCGCGGGTGGGTCCTGTAGAGTAGCTGTAGAGTACATGTTGCGGATGTAATTTGTTATGACGCCCGACGAGAAAGAGAGAGATTTTCAGTTTATTTCGCATGCAGCCTATCTAGACTATGGCGAACTGTCGCACTCCTTTCCTGCTCACTGTGGCCGGCCGGGGGTTCGAGACCCCGTTACCAGCCAGCGCGATGTGGCGCGGCGTTATAAAGCAGTCATGGACAGGTCCAAGTTTTCCATCGCCGAGGATACCGGTAATGGCAACCGCGACAGAAGTTCCTCTTCTCTTTAATCGTATTTCCCGCAATAGATACATCGAGAAGCCACTCTTATGCTGGTGCTGCCCGGACGCGCTTGAGAAATCTGCCAACCCTCACCTACTGTAAACAATACTCATCCTCATTATCCTCCTCCTCCTCCTCCTCCTCCTCCTCCTCCTCGAGCCTACATAACCACCATATGATCTGCGAGCCTAGAACAACCTGGCTACAATCCGCAAAATCCAGACCGCAGCAGAACTACAGTACACCTGACGCCTCCCCTCCAGCCTCTCTGCGGTTGCCGTGGCGGAGAAGCGACATGGACCATCAGATGACCTCCGGGGAGGTACAAGGTACAGTTTATCAGATAGACCACAGCCATGTATTGCGGTAGGGGATAATGGGCTCCGGTGTCGGCTGCTGTGCTGTCGGTCGTGATGGCTTAATAGTATTCCGAGCAGGCTGCGGCAACAGATTCGCTGAAGGGCGGGGTTTTCGGGTGGTACGAGTACGATATGCTAACGCCGGACCGGGGCGCTGGTGTCGGCTCACCGAGGTCGGCGTTTGTGCGGATTTCACTGCAGCAGTAGCCGGCACGGCATTCTGCTGTGCGCAGTGGGGTAGCTGGACTCTCTGTGTCCTCGTGACTTTTGCCTGCGATTGCGGAATCTCACGTTCGCGATCAGGGACGGCACAAGGTATATTAGTCACCATTAGGCGTCCGGTTTTTGCGGCGGTGCTCTGGGAGCCCGGTCGCCGATGCCGTAAACTGCTCGCAAGGTGCGACTTCAGTCCCGCCGCATTCACGAAATACCGCTCGCACTCGGTGCAGTGATGTTGCTTCTCCTTCCGATATCCCTGCATCGTCTGCTGAACGCTTACTACCGCTGGTGCGAGCGCGTACTGCAGCCGCTGAGACCGATGTCGCGGACTCCACTGGAGGTGGCAGTTGAGCGCCTCGGCATCAGCGAACACCCACGCGCACTCGAAGCAGTATCTGTGCCGCAGGTCGGTGTGGAAAAGCTGTAGGTGTAGCGATAACTGCGAAGGATCGACGACGTACGTGTTGCAGAGGTTGCATCGTAAGTGTTGAGCTGCTATGCGATGTTCCCACAGTGCGGCGCGATGGGGGAATATGAGATTGCATGGTTCGCAGATGGGGAGTGCGTTCATGGTATGTGCGAGGAGTTGAGGTGGCACTGGTATCAAAGGTGCGAAGACGCACCCCTCCTTTTCATCTCCCCACTTCCACGTTTAGCGACCGATCATGCGTATTGACATAGAGCCGACGGTTTGGGACGACGTTCTTGCCGGTCGAGGATCGTGTAACGCTGTGGCGCCATGTGTGAGGGTACTCCACGAGACTACCTCTAGTCTTTCCCCGTCTACCTCTCGTTACTCCTCCCTCGTCTTTTCCGACGGAGGCCAATAGTGCGAGACCACGATAGTGTTCGACGCAACTTGGGCTAAATGTCTTTGTCTAATGTGGGGTGATTTGGGAGACACAACAGCAAAAAGCGAAGGAGAAGTAAGTGCAGCAGCCCCTGTGGTTATTCTACCGGCTCTTGCAACAAGTCCTCGTCAACTCGATTTTCACCTGTGGAATGTTGTGCAGGAACCCGGTGTTGGTCTCCCCGTTTGTTCCGCCGCCGCTACATGCGAGAACTTGTAGTGAATCGAGAGCATCCTGCCGGAGATTGGACTCATACCGAACAAACGTTTGAAATGTTGTAAACACAGTCGGGTAGATATACGGGCTTCTTCATGGATTATTCCCTGTGAAGTTCCATAATCCATTCTATCACCTATCCTCCTAGCGATCATACGGTAGCAGCCACTTGGCCCCTCGGCTCATAGCAGATCTTGCCTCGGCGATCTCTAAAAGTCCGTCTCTCTGAGTGAGGACTCTCTATTGTCACTAAGAAGCTATCAAGCTACAAACAAAGAATGAAGCGGGATCCGAAACCTTAGTCACGTGAAGAGCAAGTGATAGATCATGAACTGGATGTGCCTGCCATATTTGGACGATGGATGTCGCCCACTGAAGTCGCACATCGGACATTAATAGTCCAACTGCTGGTTCTTGAGAGTTATTGCTCCAGTTTGGAGGATGTTACTCAGTGATGATTGAAGATAGGACCCATGGTAGCCTGGTAGGGAACGATTGATGGAGTGAACTTTAGAGAGAAGGGGATGAGATGTACTAGTATGATCTTGGAGCTATGTGCGCAACGTAGTATTGATGCAAAGAAAGTTAACCTGCTCCTCCGATTTTCCCACCATATATCTTCTTCTATGGATGTCCGTATGCTTTCTGTATCAGTCATTCAGTCAGTTGATACGTTTGCGACGCAAGAAGAACCCCCGTGGCTTCATGCAGCTCTCGCAGACCGAGAACTATGATAGCACTGCGACGCGTTTCGATGTGATACCTGGAGGTCAAAGCCGACAGGATATCCGTGGCAGTGTCGTTCCTCCAAATCACTGTACTGTGAAGCGGAACAAACAGCAGAAAGGAAGAAGAAAAAGGTGCCATACTAAGAGTGAAAATGTAATTCTGCCTATCTAATGTCCACCTCCATCCCACCAGCAGCGGCATCGGCTCCTCCGTCTAGCCATCTCCGAGCCGGTGGGCCAAACAAAACACCAGGCACACCACAACTACCGGAGAAAGGGAGCCGAAATGGTTCCGGCGCTAGTTTCTGCCGTTGTTCTTGTTATCGTGGAACTCCCGGCGATGCTACGGTTCCTGTGGTGTAAGCCGCCAGTAGCATTGCTGTAGCTGCTCCTGTTTCTGGTGCCATAGTTGCCGCCGGTGGCATCAACGCCCGTGCCCAAATCAGACAACTCGAACGCCTCAGCGGGCTGGCTCCAGGCCGCGCCACTTTCACTGGTGGTCATGGGAGAAGCAAAAGCAGCAGCAGCAGCAGAAGCGGCAGGAGCAGCGGCGACGTCCGAAGAACCGGTAGCGGTAGCAGTTGCAGCAACATTTTCGACACTTCCACGCACGGTACCGGCTGGATAGTTGAACTCGAAGCTTCCGAGATCCAGATTGAACGCACCCGGCCGGAGATTCTTCTTTGCCTTCTTCTTGCGAATCCAGGGCGGATGAATCCGTCTCGTCGGCTGCTGGCCGCACAGCAGCACCTTCCTCCACCTACGGTCGATTGAGAAACACCAATACCACCAGATGGTCAATATGCCGTCCGCGGTCGTAACCTTCCTCCAAAGTATGCGGTACTGCGGAATCGAAGCGGTGACGATCAGCGCGGCCATGTCGGACTCCGTGGCCATAGCGGTGAGGGAGGTGGGAGAGGTGAGCGGGGCGCCGGTATTGACATCGATGTAGAAAAGGATTATGAACACGCGCACGTATCCGGTGACCAATGGCCACATCCCGTAGAGGAAGAAGATGAAGAGAGCTTTGGTCCGGAGCAGGATGCTGCTGCTTTGCATATCTACCGCCGTTTGGAGAGGATAGAGGAGGACTAATGGGGTTAGTGGTAGTTCGAGGGGAAAGGGACTTGAGGAGGACGTACTCAGCGTCTGCGTGGAGAGGTTGAGGATTGAGTTGGCCATCAGTACTGGTAAAATTAGTCATTCCTCTCACCAAAAATATTCATGGCTACGGTGTACTTACTCCATATATTCAAGAACGGATTGCACATCTCGTAGCGTCCCAGAGCCCTGCACATGCTTGTCAATCATGCGTTATCACTTGGAGGCACACACAAACGGTCACCCACCAGCTGTTGCTCGGACGACCACAGGTGAACATAGATGTGAAAATGGCGACGAAAAAGCCGACCAGGGTCGCGACCCCCAGGACCCGGAGCAAGTAGTTGTAGCGCGGATTACTCACATGGCGCACCGATGAGTAGTGCGCCAGGTAGGGAATCTTGGTGGCGTAGACGACCACGGAGTAGAGGATCCTTGACACATACAAGATCTATTAACAAACCGATCAGCAACGATATTTCTTCGATCTCAACCGGTCCAAATATCTCACCTTCCCTTTCCGCACGCGCACGTCCACACTCACGCCAAAGTGCGCACCATACACCGGATCGATGCGGTCCGCCAGTTTATACCCTTCCGTGAGGAGGAAGAACTGGAGGCCGGTCACGGTGAGATACAACACAAAGGCGATGCAGACAGCCCAGTCGCCAATCTTACGTGACCTGAGTACCTCGACGTCGTCCTCTTGGTCGCCTCTGTAGGAGACAAAACGTAGGACTATCCCGCTGGTCACGAAGATGACGCCGCAGACGTAGAGCACAATCTGGTTAATCGGGAAAGGCGGGGTTTTTTGTTTGACGTCTGAACCGTGCCTAGATTTTGGGAAAGGGTATCCATGGAAGCTAGGCAAGTGAGTGGTGACAGGGACGTGAGGGGAGTCAGCACGAGGGACGATCTGATCTGCGAGGGTGAAGCAGAAAAAGAAAGATCCAAGGATCAAGAGGAAAATAGAGAGGCTGAGCAGCCGCCGAAGCAGCTTGGCGGCCATTGCGATTGTGTTGGTACCGAGGGTGGTGGGTGAGGATGATGAAGGTGTGGTTTGTGATACTTCTCGGTGACTCGGTGGGATGCCGTCGTCTCGGCAACGATTTGAAAAAGGAAAATCTCTCTCTCTTTTTCTCTCGTAGTAGTCCACAGTTTTGCACTCGCTTCATAACCTCGTACTCGCTTTCTAACCTCTCTCGGCTTGGCGTGGGTATCTCCGGTGGCGTTCCGCCTCGGCTAGAGAAGTAACTAATCCTAGACTCACCATGATGATCAATCCCGTCCGAAACATCCCCGCGATGTCGCGTCCACCATGATATAACCACTGTCACTTCCGTCCTCCTCTCATCCCTCATCCTCATACCCGGCCCGTCCTCACCTACCACCATCGCCATGAACCTTCTCTTCCTTCATGGCTACACGCAATCCGGTCCGCTGTTCTCTGCGAAGACGAAAGCCGTCCAGAAGGCGCTAACGAAGTCGCTGGGCGCCGACACAACCCTTCACTTTCCTACAGCGCCGATTAAGCTCTCCCCCGCCGACATCCCCGGCGACGCGGTCGCCGACGATGCAGCCGACCTCGAAGCGTACGCGTGGTGGCGACGCGCAACGCCCACATCCGCGTACACTGGTCTTCCAGAGACCTTCCTCTTCATCTCGTCGTACCTCGACACCCATGGACCGTTTGACGGCGTTATCGGGTTCTCCCAGGGCGCCGCCTTCGCGGCTATTCTCGCAGCGATCCTGGAGAAGGGGCGGAAGCGGCCGGAGGAGTTTACTACCTCGCACCCGCCGTTGAAGTTCGCGGTTTGCTACAGCGGCTTCAGAGCGCCCGACATGTATCGGGAGTGGTACGAACCAAGCATCGAGACGAAGGTGTTACATGTTATTGGGAGTTTGGATACGGTTGTTGATGAGGAAAGGAGTCTCGAACTCATGAAGGCGTGTGTGGATGGGGATAAGCGGACGGTGTACCATCCTGGTGGACATTATTTACCAGCGCAGAAGCCAATGGTTAATGCGCTCGTCGGGTTCATATTGAGCAGTGTGAAGGAGGAAAAGAAGGAGGAGATTGTTGATGATCTACTCGCAATGTTTTGAGGGTTGTAGAAAGCGTTGTTTTTGATTTCTAGAACGATAGAGCTTAGATCATAGACGTATCCCTTCGCCAGAATCCATTCACTCAACTGTCATGATTTCGCGAATCGCGAGATCCAAAAGAACGGACCAAAGCTTGCTTCCTTCTCACTGCCAAAAGGAACACGCGCAGTGTGACATAGCCAGCTCTGACCCCGATTTGAACGAGGGACCTGTCGATCTGCAATCGACCGCTCTAACCCCTGAGCTACCAGAGCGTTCAGTGGCAAATCAAGCTCTCTGCGTGCTCAATCATTGATGTCTTAGGTTAAAGTTTGACACTCAATAGGTACGTGGCCTTCAGTTGTTGAAGTTGCAGATCAAAGACACTCGCAACACTGTCTCTTACGAGCGAAAAGATACCCATGTGCACCGTTGAGTCTGAAACTTAATCGGCTTATGCGTCATCGACCGCCCGGAATATCACAAAGATTCAGTTTCCATACTCCGAAACAAAGCAGAGTCCCATGATCACCCGAATATTGGCCATTGGCAGTGCCTGAAACTCCCCAAAATCGTCGCCTCAGCTTGTTCGTGCATTGTATTTACTGGGAAAGTAAAGACGCATTGTTTGTTCTCAACGGTTGTCTTCACACATCCCAACGTTAGGAGCCCAGAGAGAGTGTGTGTGATCTACAGTTTATTTCACATGCAACCTATCTAGACTATGACGAACCGTCGCACTCCTTTCCTGCCCGCTCTGTTAGGAGCCAAAGTTGCACTCCGTTTGTTTCAAAGGGAATTCTGGGTGATGCGTTGTGAAGTACAAGTTGTCGCGCTTCCTAAAATTAGAGGATTTGTGGGTGCAGCCACGTGACGTGAGTGATGGTGTGGTACCTTGCCCTTAGCGTTGTGACTGTGGTTTTTCCCCCACACTTCACAGCGCACACAATCCAAACGCAAGCTCCGCCAAACTGTCGATTTTGTTATTCCGCGCGAAACTAACCGAAAGACCAGCAACCCCTCACGACCAACGACGAGACCCTTTCCGACCAAGTCTCTCATAATCGACAAAAATGGCCCGTGGACCGTAAGTCGCACTCTTCGATCTTTTCGCTACCGACGACCGAACGACCGAACGACCGACGGAAGGGAATAATGCGACGATGATTCGGTGGACTGGAGGAATGTGGATAAGAGGAAGCGACGCGTGGGAATATACGATCAGCGTCGCGACTACTACACAAACCTCTGCCTTCGAATTCTGAATCGCATTATTCTCTCCTGTTGGGCGGTGGATGCTTCGGGTTTGATTGGGAGGGAGATGGCTAACTCTTGCGCAGTAAGAAGCACTTGAAGCGGCTTAATGCCCCATCGCACTGGCTTCTCGACAAATTGTCGGGATCCTACGCGCCCCGTCCTTCGCCTGGTATGAATCGCTTCTTCGAGAAGTAGTCTCCGTACCTCGTCACTGACGGGTATTGTCATCAGGTCCCCACAAGTTGAGGGATTGCATGCCTCTTGTTGTGTTCATCCGCAACAGGCTGAAGTATGCGCTGAACGGACGGTATGGACATTTGCTTTTTTCCCCTGCAAGTTTTCTCGATACATGTGCTGATAATTCGCAGTGAGGTCAAGGCCATCGTCATGCAGCGGTTGATCAAGGTTGACGGCAAGGTCCGCACCGACCCTACCTTCCCCGCCGGTTTCATGGACGTCATCTCGATCGAGAAGACCAGCGAGAACTTCCGTCTCATCTACGACACCAAGGGACGTTTCACCATCCACCGTATCACCGACACCGAGGCCGAGTACAAGTTGTGCAAGGTCAAGCGCGTCCAGCTCGGAAAGAAGGGCATTCCTTACCTCGTCACGCACGATGCCCGCACCATCCGTTACCCCGACCCTGCCATCCGTGTCAACGACACCGTCAAGGTTGACCTTGCCACCGGCAAGATCACCGACTTCATTCGGTTCGACACTGGTGTCATCGCCATGGTTACCGGTGGTCGCAACATGGGACGTGTCGGTGTCATCACCCATCGTGAGCGTCACGATGGAGGTTTCGACATTGTGCACATGAAGGATGCTGTTGACAACACCTTCGCCACCCGTCTGAGCAACGTCTTCATCATCGGAGACGAGAAGCCTTGGATCTCGCTGCCCAAGGGCAAGGGTGTCAAGGTAGAACTGTCCATCTATCCATGTTCTAGAATGTATTGCTAACTCTGAAACAGCTCACCATTGCTGAGGAGCGTGACCGTCGCCGTGCCGCTGCCATTGCCAACTAAATGTCAATTGGTCGTGGGTCGCTCTGGGTTGGATTTGTTTGTCGTTTCTAGGTACAAGGAGCGGGAATACACATAGTCCAAAAAGTTCCTTGGATTGGAGTTTGGGTTGCTTTTTATCCGCCGAATTCATTGTACCTCGTGTAGTGATTTCTGCGTACTATGGTGATGCCTGTGAAATCTGCCACCAGTGATGATCCGTTGTGCTCGGCCGGAGCGCGATGGGAGTTTTGGTGTAGTTATGCCAATTGGTGAAAATGTATGGGAATATGAGACTGTCTGTCAGTTGTCAACATGGGAGTTGCACAGTGCCGATGCTGCAACTACCGTTCAATCATGTACCGCCGTCCTGCGCATGCTTCTATGTAACATACCGGTATCCTCTGTACTCGGATACGCAATTCGTCGGTAGGGCTGTTGCCACCAGTGACTAAAGCAGCCGATATGTACTCCCAGAGCTCCATACCCATACTGACGACACCGCGTGATCCATCCATCCTGCCCCACCCATTACAGTTCGGCAGTTCACGGGGCCTCAACCCAGCGTTCGCACTCCACTATCTCTATTCTGCCTAACTCAATCTCGGACTTGTTTCCCGCCGGTCCTCGTCCATGCCTTTAACGGCGCCGAGTGCATGTACAAGGATAGGTACCTCCCGTCGAATTCTGTAAGGTACATACCTCATACATAGAGTGCAAACGAAATACATCTCTACCCCGCGTTCGCCATGTAACTAGCAGTTTGATGATCTTCGTTGGTGCTTCGGCGAAATGCAATGCGAGGTTCTAGCGGCAGCCTGCGGCGATGGAATAAGTAAATACATCTTGTGCTTTACTTCCGGACGCCTAGCGGAGTAGTGTGAGTCGTGGGGATGAGTCGTGAGTGGTGGGGGTGTCGGTTGCGCGGCAATGCACACCTCGTTATTGGACTCGGAATTCACGCACGATGGCAGGCAGGCAAGACGTGGGCCCGCCCCAACCAGTGCTCTGGTCATCATGGAACTCTATCCCCAATCCCAAATCCCCTCCTCACCCTCGCACGCAAGCCAGTCTAGCCCCCAGTTCTCACGATGTTAGCCTCCGCCCTCCGCCGAAGCTCGAGCTCGAACTCGGTACCAGTGCGCTCCGCGCTGCGCCAGTGTCGGCGGCTCAGCTCAACGACACCTCCTCCACCCACTAGGGCGACGAGATGGAGCACGCCGACCGTCTTTACGCTGGCGGCAGTAACCGGCGGCGCATCCATTGCAGGCTGGGAATACTACCGCTCCTCCACCACCGGAGCAGGCGCGAGCTCGAGGGTGGCCAGCAAGCTCCTTGCGCTGCCACAGTACGGTACTGCTGGTGACATGATGAAGGTACCTACCTAGCCAGTCCCTCCCCGTCGTCTGTCCGTCGCAGGTATGCGAACGAAAGCTGATACCCCCCAGGCGGTCTCGGAGATCCGCGCAGTCCTGGGCACCGACGCCGTGAGCACCGACGACGACATCCTACATCTGCACGGCTACAGCTCGTGGAGCACAATCAACGTGGACCGCCTTCCCATCGCCGTGGTCTACCCGCGCAACACCAACGAGGTCGTGGCCACCGTCAAGCTGTGCCATAATTATCGTGTGCCTATGAGTACGTCTGTCTTCTCTTATCTTTTGAGGCAGTGCGGGAGCTGATGAGATCGGGGACCGGCAGTTCCGTTCTCTGGCGGAAGCAGTCTGGAGGGGAATTTTGCGGCGCCGCATGGCGGGATGAGTATCGATTTCTCGCATATGGATCAGGTTGTGAAGTTTAACGAGGAGGAGTGAGATGCCTCTTCTTTCGCAGATATGTACGAAGAGTGCTGACAGGTGGACGGTAGTATGGATATCGTCGTGCAGCCTGCCGTTTCCTGGATGGGCCTCAACGAGCAGATTAAAGACTCGGGATTGTTCTTTCCGGTGGATCCGGGGCCCACGGTGGGTATTCTACTGGTGTGGGTGGTGTGATGGCGGTGGTGCTGATATGTGCATTCGGGAAAGGCGAAAATAGGCGGTATGGTTGGGACGAACTGCAGGTACACGTGAACCTACTTCATCCAACAGCTGTGACCTCGGCGCTGACACCTCCTCCAATCAAGCGGGACGAACGCGGTCCGCTACGGCACAATGAAAGACTGGGTAATCAACCTCACGGTGGTGCTCGCCGACGGTACTGTTATCAAGACCCGTCGTCGCCCGCGCAAATCCTCCGCCGGCTACAACCTCAACGGGCTCTTCGTCGGCTCCGAGGGCACACTCGGATTAGTCACTGAGATTACGCTGAAGCTGGCGGTGATTCCGCAGCAGACTACCGTCGCCGTGGTAACGTTCCCGACCATCCGCGACGCCGCCGGCGCCGCGTCACGAGTGCTGAGAGCGGGAGTGCCCGTGGCCGCGATGGAGATAATGGACGATGTGCAGATGATGGTTGTCAACAAGGCCGGGTCGACCGGACGGGTGTGGAAGGAGGTGCCCACGCTGTTCTTTAAGTTCTCGGGGACCAAGGCGGGAGTGCTGGATAACATCTCGACGGTCAAGGAGATCGCAAAGCGACACAAGGCGGGCGACTTCACGTTTGCAAAGAGCGACGACGAGGCGAAGAGACTGTGGAGTGCGCGCAAGGAGAGTTTGTGGAGCATGCTCGCGCTCAGGAAGACAGGTGAGGAGGTGTGGAGTACGGATGTGGCAGTGCCGATCAGTCGGTTGGCTGATATCATCGGTTTGCCCCCCTCCCCCCCCTCCCCCCCCCCTCCCCCCCTCTCCCTCCCTCGTCCCCCGCGCTCCCGCTAACTTGCGAAGAAATCTCGAAAAAGGAACTAGACTCTCTCAACATGTTCGCCAGCATCCTGGGACACGTCGGCGACGGAAACTTCCACGAGAGCATAATGTACGACAAGCAGAATCCCGAGGATGTGGCGCGGATAGAGAAGGTGGTGCACGCCATGGTCGATAGAGCGCTCGAGATGGAGGGAACTTGTACGGGCGAGCACGGCGTGGGACTCGGCAAGAAGGGGTTTCTCAAGAAGGAACTCGGTGCAGAGACGCTGGGGGTTATGAGGACGGTTAAGGCCGCGTTGGATCCTCTGTGAGTGTTCCGTGACGACTGGTGAGAGGGTGGAAGAGACTAATAGTTGACAGGTGGTTGCTGAATCCCGGGAAGATCATTGATGCTGATCCGGCAGAGACGTAGGGCGGCGTTGTATATATCCATTTGTAAACTCCTATATGTGGGTTTGGTTTTTGCCGTAAGAATGATCTTGCATGGGTGATATTTGATGAACATCGTCGAGTGGCGTGTCGGGGGTTGGCCACAATCGACGTCAAGTACAGACCCAAGCCACAGAAGTACCGTATTGCTATGATGGTGATGTTTCAAAGCTGCGACAAAGCTGGCTGAAACAGCAACTGTTGAGAATTTCTAGTGACACAAAGCTATATACTCATTTCTGTTCCCGCAACCCCTTTTACAACAGTCCCCAGCTCCAGCTGAGCTCCAGCTCATCGGAAACGATAAGTTGGCCAGTTTTGTGTTGCATCTTCCGTATTTGACCGCATCGATCTTGAAAACGAAAGAGAAAGAACATCGATTTATTTCGCATACAGCCCGTCTACTTCTCTGGCGAATCGAACATGAAAGGACGTCTCCTTGACGACATGGGTGACACCTTGTGAGGACTCACGTGCCCATCCCACGCTCGCCCCCACGCCCCCACGCCCCCACGCCCCCACGCCCCCACGCCCCCACGCCACCAACTAACCCCTTATCCGAAGCGGAAGGCACAGTCGCGTCCAACCGGAGCCGCGGGGTTCTGTGATACTTCAACTTTTTTTTGTTCAGCCGCGATAGTGCCCCTGACGCAGGCACATAGAGTGCCTACTCGCAGGTATGATAACCTCCGACGACAGCGCCACATAATGACTGCGGCTGCCACTGCCAACTGCCAACAGAGACAAAGGGGAGACAGGCGGTGATAGGTGCCAACCTGCCAGCCAGCCAGGCGGAGCGGAAGATGGTAAGTCGGCGCGAGGCGAGATCCTTGTTCCTCCTTTCGGAACGCATTCATAAGCTTACTTATGTGCGTTCAAGAATTTTTTTCGAGCGGGCGGAAAACCCAGGCCAGATCTACCGCTAGGTACTAGTACTCGGGTACTTAAGAAAACTTGTCCTAGCTAGCTGCTTCTCCTTCTCCACATAATTTCCCCCAGATAATCGCCAAAAAAGTCCAGTTCCGCTGCCTCACCGGCCGTTCTCGCTCTTTTGCTCTCTCTCTCCTCTCCGTTTCTCTATATTTTTCTTAGTTTCCTTTCGCTATTGTTACACGGTATAGGTACCTCTAGTATAGATACATTCCTTCGATCGATCGTCCCGATGTCGTCGCTATCGCAGCTGCCCCTTCCCGCCGAGCTCATCCACGAAGTCATCCGCCACCTCCACGACTCGAGCGACTGTCCCACATGTTTACAGACCGATCTTTCGGCCATCTGCTCTTCGTCCAGTATTCTCAGCGCCATCGCAACCCCGTACCTCTACGCGAATCCCGTCCTCGTCTCATCTCACGACGATGACAGTGAAGAGAGCTCGTCTTCCTACGAGCGCCGCCTCTTCGCCCTCCAGCAGACCGTTTCTAAAACCTCAGCACTCGGTGCGCTGGTCCAGCACCTGCAGTTCTCGCACGAGCAGCCCACGACCGCTACCCTCTGGAAAGATGTCGTCTCCGCGACGCCTCACCTGCGCACACTGAGCGGCGTCGAGACCTTTTTTCCCGACGCGGACGAGGAGGAGTTCGACAGCGATGCCGCTTCATCCTCCTTCGCAGCGCTCTCGGGCCTGACACGTCTCCAAACCGCCGTTGTCCACGACGAAACCCTCACCGACCTGTCGCTGGCATCGCTCTTCGCCTCGTGGCCCTCCCTCGAAACACTCGCGCTGGGCAGCGTCATCGCCGACGACAGCCGGTACTCTGACCTCGCTACCCTGTCTCGCACCAAGCTGAAGCACCTATACTTCACGGACTTCGACCTGGACTACACGCGCCCTTCGGAGCGCGACGACGCGCTCGCCGCCTTGCCCCCGCTCAAAACACTGAGCATCGACTACACATTCGGCTTCACGCTTCTTAGCGTATCGCGCTTCCTGTCACAGAGCCCCCTCCACGCCGCACGGCTACGCAACCTGGAGTTCCGCCGTCAAATGCGCAAAGACAATACCCTGTCGGACCTGTCCGCCACGCTCGCCGCCGCGCCAAACCTACAGTCCCTCGACGTCGCGCTGTCAGTATACTCCAAAGACGAGTCCGCGACGCACTACTACTCGCTCGACGACCTGCCGCTGCTGCAGTCCACTTCGCTGCGCGCGCTGTCGTACTCCACAATCTACGCGACCCCCGACCTTGCCATAGCCGACAGCGGCGACGACTTCGAGCGACTGCTGATCGCGTCGCTGCCCGCCCTGCCGAAGCTCGAGAAGCTGTGTGTCGGCACCGTAGTCAAGACCCGCGAGGACGCGCTGGGTGTGAACATGTGGACCGCGCTTCGTGACGAGGTGGAGAGGGTGGGCAGCGTGCTCACTACCGACCCCGAGGCGCTCGGGAAAGGCGGGAAGCGCGTGCTCCTCGTCGTCGAGGACGAGGTCAAGATGGAGATGGCGGCGGAGCGGATGAGTGAGCTGAAGAGGGGCCTGGGCAGGGGCGGCGTTGTCTGCGCCGTTTCCGGTCCGGAGGAGGAGTGTGTCGACGAGGAGGGGCTGGAGGGCGAGAAGGAGTGTGCCGGGGAGGAGGTGTAGTGCATTAGCTTTTGCTTTTGCGTGGTGGGATGGGATGGGATGGGATAGATCTGGAGGTTTTTTGTTTTGAGCAGGTTTGTTTACGTTAGATTTTTATACCCGGTGAGTGCGCTGCGATAGACAAGGCGAGATGTGGATGCGAGGGGTTAGATGGGGATGATAGATAGTGGATGGTTAGATCAGTAGATATAGACACCTGCCTACCTAGATTTTTATACAACGTTCATTTGTTTCCTCTTCTACAAGTACTCTATTTGCTCCTGTCTGTCTCTGATGTGAAGTACTCACGAACAGTTCGATTGCAGAAAGCTACAATAGTACCGAGTTCCGAGCAAGTTGCATGGCAGCAAAATCGCAGCTTGGAGCCTTGGACAGTCACTAATCTAGGTAGGTAGGTTGCATTGGAAACATCACGTACTCCGCTTGCGTGGTGAAGCGAGACCGCTCGCCTTTGTTCGTCAGTCGAACCTGCTTCTACACGTGTGCCCCAACGGAATCGAGCTACAGAGACCGACTATGGCTCACCCTGCATGCTCTGGTAGGATACAGTCTGTAGCACCAACGAGTTCATGCACTGAATATCACTCAAGAGTCAAGCACCAACTGTTAAGTCGTCATCATGCCTTCCGGCTCTCATTCAACCTGTCCTCAGCGATGCAACTAGATCCCCCGAAGAAGTAGATGTACAGCCCCCTTCACCCGCTTCACGCCCTTCACGCCCTTCACCTTCACCCATCACCCCACCCCACCCCCACACTTGCGCACACACTGGTTAGTATGCACAAGACTTGATGGCGATTTCTCTATCGCCATCGCCATCGATCGACCGCCTCTCACTGATGCATCCATCCATCAAGTCAACACGCTATTGAAGTTGCATAGAAGAAAACAAAAAGGGTAAAAAACGAGCGAACGAAAGGAAAAAACGAAACGGAAAAGGAACTTTTAGTGCGGGGCTATCACTCGTTTTCGCTCTGCTGGACGGGGTCGGCGTCGTCGGCGCCGGGTTGGCGCTCGGCTGCTCATCGAGTCAGGCGACCTTGACGAACTTGCCCACGGATGGGATGCCGTCGGCCTTGAGATGGTGGTCAGCAGTGATTCGGCATGAAGGATTTGGGGGGACTCACCACTGCGTAGATCACATAGGGACCCGGTGGCGCAACGTTCAAGTTCGGCGGTGCCTTGACAGTAAGCGTCTGCTTAGCTTGTCCGGCCTTCCAGCCGGTGAAGTCCAAAAACAACATGCGGTGTCCCATGTGGAGGCTGTGGGTCACGAAGCCTCCATGATACAACGCGATCTTCACGCTCTTAGCGGAGGTGGGAACGTTGAACGAGACAGTGAAGGAACCTCCATTGGCGTTGACCGTAGCGGGCACTTGGAGAGCGGTCGGACGGAGCGACGCCTTGGAACCTTGCAAGTACGGCGGAGTGAAGCGCTCGACGCGAAACTCGGTGGGGTAGGGATTTCCGGGCTTTGCAGTCAGGACTGGCATCTCGTTCGGGCCGCTACCGGCAACCAGGATGGTTCCGTCGAGCAACAGGAGGGCCACCGAATGGTAGAGACGCGGTATCTTAGACGCCGCCAGCTGTGACCAACGGCTGCCCTTTGCCTTCTTGGGGTCATAGAGGAGGGGCCGCAGCGTGGGATCCGTGGCCAAGAGGAAGCCTTGCGCACCACGGTTCGCTCCATTCAGCCACAGCACAGTGCCGTCGGGCAGCAGCACGGCCTCAACCATTCCACGTCCCTCGGGCATGGACTCGATTGACCAGGTCGGGTTGGCAGACTCCGGAGAAATGGTACCGCAGCTGGGCTCTGTGGGTGAAGTGATATCCTAGTGCACGACTTAGCAACACGCATACCGAAATACTAGATCATTCCTCACCTGGTACGCTCCACCACCACAAATCATCACCGTCGAGGCCCAGTTATTGCTACTCGAGAGAGGCATCAGGACACTACCACCAGTGTTGGGGTAGGTTCGGTAGTCTCCAGCGAGGTTCGGGAGCTTCTTGACGATACTGTTGGTGTTGATGTTAAAGATCTGCGAAGCCCTGGCGGTGAAGATAAAAATGTTTCCGTCTTTGAGGAGGTGCATGAATGGGTACATGTAGTACGGCTGATTCTCCTCAAGGATTTCCATTGGGATGCTACCGCCCTGGGGGTATCCGGTGGCAGACAAGATCTCGTATGTTGGATTGTTGTTCGCCGGCACTGACGGATCACTGCGTCTGTTAGAAAATCCCCAGCATAGTTCGCGGAGTCGATACATACAGTCTGCGAAGTTGTCAGTACACCGGATGCCAAGTGCGGGAGGATGTGACTTACCCATTGATCGACCCAGAAACCACAAAGACCTTTCCGTTGGCCAGTGTCTGCACGGAAGGATACCAACGCTTCGAATTCAACTTCTGCCCAGGCTCCCTCCATGATTGCCCATTAAGCGCAGCATTTGTCGAAGACCTAGTCAGGAACCGCAGACCGTCAAAACCATCACTGACCGAATCGTCGAGCCAAGTGAGTGGGCCGTTCCCGCCAATAGCCAACATGTCACCGTTCGCGAGGAAAGTACCGCCAGCACAGAATGCATTGGTCTGCCAAACAATCAGCACATCGATTCACCAGTGAGAAACCATGAAGCACATACCTTGTAAGACAACCCCACGGCTTTGTTTGTTTCCGGATTGTATTCACTCGAGTATGCGAATCTACCGTTCGGCAACTTCAGCTGGGTGTAATCTTCAACCTTGTCCAGAAACATGACACGCCCGTTCTGCATGAGAGCCGCGTGCATCGCCGGCACCCCCGACTGGCCGATGACATCGAAGCGACCACCGTTAGTGATCGGAGCCGGGGCTGGGCCAGGGGCTTCCGGAGTTCCCCCCTCCTCCGTACAGGGGCCGGACTGACATCCCTTGCCACAGTGGTCAACTATCCTTGTGTCAGCAACTGCTTAATCCTAAACCGATAGCGTGACAGACCAGTTTTTCCACACCAGCCGTACATCGAACAGCACTCTCCAGTAGACCAGCCGACACAGGTGGTATCTCCCTTGAGCTTGCCGCAAGTTCCATCCTGAGTGGGAGGACCACCAGCAACAGCTTGAGAGATCAAGATGGGCCGAGAGAGCACAGGTTCGGTCAGAGAAGATGGAACAGCATCCTGCGCAACGGCCACTGGGCTGGCATTGGCCACGGGCCATGGGCGTCGACGGCTGAGACCTCCTGAGCGGCGGTACTCGCAACTATAAACGGTCAGTTACCGAAAAACGTACAGTATAAAGAGAGGCCAAGACGGGTATCCACAGCACTAAGGTGTATCGGAAAGAAGCAGAATCATGCACATGGAAAGGGACACCGAAATAGGAAGTAGAATTGGGGGTACTCACAGCTCATAAACACATGACATGCCTCGGAGACATTGGAACACACTCTTCGGGCACTCAATATAGGGTGCGGGAAAGGAGATGTTTGCCTCAACCGTGGTAACGAGGGCTATGCATAGGAACAGGACTGTTTGAAGGGGCCTCATGCTGCAGGAGTGGCGATGTGGAGTTTGGTGGTCGTTGGGGGATTCCTGAGGATACCAACTTGAAGGAGCACTGGGGGAGGAGTTGAAGAAGCGGTTTTGGGCCGAATAAACGATACAAAAAGAGTCCTTCACAGGCACTGGGAGGGAGGGCGAGTGAGGAGTATAAGTAATGAATGACGGTGCGGAGGAAAAGAAAGTGAGAAGAGGGAAATAAACGCGCAGAAAGAATTTCAAGACGACTGTAGAGGAGGAAGGAAAGAAAGTAGGAAGGAAGGAAGGAAGAAAGCAAAAGAAACGAACCATGTCCCGGGAGGGAGGATGGAATGTAAGCCGCTAACCTGATTCGTTGAACTGCAGCTCTTATTCCTTAATCCGTGGTGGTAGCATCGGTTGTCAGCCACGATGTCTTGACGACATTGAAAGGTCAACCGATCACTCTGAAGTTCTGGACGAAGGGCGCCATGTCTCGGATCCACAATTGCACGCATACGAACAGACATCGAAAAGAATCTGTAGCATATTGCAAGCACATGTTAATATCATGTACTTTATGCATCCAAGGACGAGGTCATACCCAAGCTGAAGTATAGTTTGCTGCGCCCAGATCCCAGGCCGGGAGCATGAGTCGTGGAAAGGGCAAGGGACGAGACGGCTCGGCTTCCGGGTCGGAACATTCAACCACAGCACAGCACAGCCAACTCGCCCATGTTGATGATGTCCGGGGGGTTGGAGTGGAGCGTGGTTGATGGTTGATCGGGTGGTTGGTCGAGCGAGCGAGCGGGTTAACGTGCACTCAGATTCATTCCCCTTGCCTCACTCTCACTCTCTTCAGACATGAAACGCCATTAGTGAAGAACAGTTAAGCTCAAGCTCCCGAGTTACATCGCCACTGCCGAGCGAGCGCGAGCAGCACCACCATCAGCAGCAGCCCCACCACCAGCAGTACCACTACCACCAGCAGCAGACTACAGCCGACGCCGGCAACATGCAGCAGCGTCCCGGAGATTCAAGTGACGTCGGCGTCTATCGGCCACTGTTTCGCTTAAACGACACAGGTCTCAGTAGGACATTTTCTTGCATAGCTGACGCGATATGTAGGGCGAACATTAATCGAGGAAGAAGATGCTGCCCAGTGCCGACGCGAAGGACCCCCATCTCGAAACGCTAGCGTCCTGCCCCGATGCGCAGCCGCAGGGGGGCAAAAATAGACTGCCGAGATTGCCGAAGATTTGTTGCCGGGTTCGAGAAGGAATGATGTACCTACATTATGTACCTGGACTATGCACCTACATATGACAGTACATGATTGTCTCGAAACGCTGCCGGAGGATCCTTGAGACAAGTTCGGGTGGTTTTTGTTTCCGCTCAGCCTTACTACCCGTATGGGGCGGAGGCGGGGGTAATCACGGGTTCCGCAGAAACGGTATCGGTCTGGAGGGCTGGAATCATCCCATATCTGCAGCCTCCCGTCGGATTCCCCATTCCCCACATTTACAGTGCAGCGGCGGCGTCCCCGGAACACAAGTACCGTATGCAAAGGCACGAACCGGGTGCGACTTCCGACTTGAGCGTGGAAACAAGGAAGCAAGGTCCCGCCGTGTGCACAGCGCCGGCGTCCGGTTCAAAGTTCGAACCTTGGGGTCAGTCCACCAAGAATCCAAGATCTGGAGTTGGCGAAGGTGGACTTTCTTCCCCGTAAATGGGGCGGTGGTACGGTATGTACTCACATGAACGGGAGTGTATCCTGTATATGACCATGTTTGCCCTGCTGGATACTTAGCTCTCACATGTAATCTGTGAATCGATTTGCGTTGCAGCAGAACAAGGAGGACAAGACAGCCTGCACATGAACGACCTTTACGAATCGTACGTCCTCGCTGTATGTGCTCGCTGTATGTAGTTGGGGCAGCTCGTCACATGCACGAGATCCTCGCGATTTCTAGGATCCTCTGGTCGGTAGTCCCGGAGGATAAAAAACTCAGCATCTACTGACTCCTCTACCGCCGGCCTCTCCAGCCCCTCCAGCCGCCTCTTATATGTAGGTGGATCGAAGCGTCGATTTCACAGGTCGGGGACGTTCTCCTGCCGGTGAAGTTCCAACTTCTTTTTCGACTTCCGCAGAACCGGCCGGAAACTTGAAAGGCAGTGACTTCCGCTCCACGCCGCGGATCCGACTTGCCCTTCGACATGAAGGCTACTATAAGCGGGAGAGCTCGCGCCAAACTTCCGGTATACCCTGCTAGTTAACTACCTAGGGGATACTCCCGCGCGGGTCGATCGTTGCGCCGAGTAGTGGATACCGGTATGGCTGCAAGTATTCAAGCATGGCCTGGCCGACGGGCGTCTGGTGCTGTCGTGCGGTGATCATTGATACCGGTAGTGCTTTCTCACGGCCCGCTGCTCGTGGCCGGCGGATGAAGCGATAGTATAAGAATAGTAGAGTGCGCAGAATTCCCTAGCTGATATTTCCATGTCTGCATACGGCAGATGTTGGCAGTGTCGAAGGCGGCTAGTCGGGAGGTTTTGAACGCATCGAATCGATGGAGTCGTTGTGCAGCCTATGGTTGGTGGTTGGCATTGGCATTGTTATCTCTTCAGAGGTGAACAGGAGATGGAATGAGGAATTCTGTGTATAAAGCGTTCTTGCATCCGCAAATCTTCATCTCATCACTCTGCGAGATGCGGTTCGCTCTGGTGAGGCCAATGTGTGTCTGATATGTTTTCAATCCAGGATAGGAAACCACAGGACCGTGCTATGTGTAGTTGGCTCTACCGATGCGTGTGATGGACCGTGCCCGCTCTTGCGCCCGCTCGAGACGTCTAGCTGCCGCATCCGACCAGGGAGACACTGGTAGATTTCCCGTTCCAATGAAGTTCATGGCATTGACCTCGTAAAAGCAAACAAATGATATATACAACTGATAAACGCCGTTCCCCTATGCCCGCTGACCGTCCGTACTGCTTTCGCCTACCACAGTGCTGCCGCAAACGCCGCCACGACGACCAGCACGACCAACGTCCTTTGCACCTCGACTCCGATCGCGCCAGAGCAGTAATAACCCTGAGCCCTCCAGTATTCACAATTCTTCCCGCCTCCGGTGCCGCCGCCGGTGCCTCCAGCCCCTCCGCTGACCACCACCTTCCCACAATCCCCCACGGGCGCGGCAGTATCCCCCGCGCCTCCGCGCTCCACGTTGTTCCCCGGGTCTGGGAACTCAACGTCGGCACCGGCCTGCGTGGTGCAGCCGTTGCCCAGGTTTGCGAGGAAGACTTGGGGCCCCAGTGCGCGCTTCTTGAGCATTGACGGGAGTACGTTGAATTCCTCGCGCGCCATCAGCTTGCGCTTGCCGCCGGAGATGGTCACTACCGCGCAGTTCATGTAGATTTCGCGGTTGCCTTGGTTGTTGAACCACGTCCTGGGAGAGAATGGCAAGCGTTAGAAGGAGGCGGAAAGCGCGGTGGTGGGAGGTTCGGGGGAAGGTTTACCATGCTAGCAGCGCTTCCCCGCCAGGCGTCCCCTTCGGCACCGTAAATGAGAACGACTGATCACTTCCCTGGTCCGGTTTCACGCACCCACCGACGAATGACTTGATGACCTGCCAAGAATTTCCTCCGTCGAACGAGAACGACAGCTGGCACGAGCCGCCGAGATGTGTCGCCGAACCATCGAGCCTGTTTCCAGCACATCAGAGTACCATCGCGTGGTAACTAGCCATGGGTGTCAACTCACCGGATTTTATAGCTCCCCCCGGGACTGTAGGTCGCGACGGACTTTCCGCCGGGTGTCCCGAGATCCTCATGGTAGCCCTTGCAGGGGTAGTTGCTGCCCGACGGCGACAGCGGCGAGAGGTAATCGTAATCTTCGGCAACCTTGTAGGGATTCGACTTGTACCGCAGGGCTGGCGGATCCGCCATCGCCATGTGGGCCGAGACGAGGGTGGCATGTAGGGCGAGCACGACCGCAAGGACTGCAAGAAGCCGTGGTATCGATACGCATTGATGGGTGACTGCGCGGGCGAACATTGAGGGCGAGTTCGAGTGTGTAGGCAGGGGAGGGGTGATTGTGGGACGTCGTGATGGATGTGAAGGACTTTAACTTTCCCACGGTCTCTTGTTCAGCGTTCCACCCATTGCCTCAGCGCCAGACATTTAAACAGGTCTTTTCGGCGGGGGGGGGGGAGGGGGCGTCCTTTCCCCCAGAAGGCTGTGCATCACGTATGCGCGCTCCTACTCGCTGTTAGATCCTCAGCACGTCGCTAGGCAGTTCTGTAGGTGGGGTTTTAAGCATATTCGTTGGTCACTGGCGACGGCGCCCATCTGCATCTGCGTGCACAGGGCAGGGCGGCTGGGGGTCTAGGTCGCGGGAGTTTCTGATACAAGGCCCTGGCAGGTAGGATGCGCTGGCAGCAGCAGCACCACGAGAAAAAAATTAAAAAATCTATCTGTCGCAGCAGCTCGCGTTGCGGTTCCCTGCAGAACAACTGGCTGGAATGCACTCTAGATGCAGGAACCGCCCGACCAACCAGGTCGTCCATTCATCCGGGCCAGCTTCTGTCGTTTCGACGTTCGTTCGTTGCTTTCTTCGTTCGTGGTTGCGCCTCAAGCACGCTCGAGAGTTGGATATCTCCATTTCGTTCGTTCATTCATTCGTGGTTTCGTCTCCCGCACGCTGGAGAGTTGGATACTGCTATCTCCATCTCGTTCCTGTGTGCGAGAGCTGATGGACACACATGGTTTCGGACGCAAGAGCGACAGATTCTGCTACACCGCTTTATGTACCGGTATTCCAGCTTCTTTCACGGCAGGTAGCGGCCCGCTTCTCTTCCTTTGTTTACTGGCAGTCCCGATTCCGTGCAGAGCAGAGGTACCGGTAGATGATTTCCTGCATCGGAACTATGCCGGTAGTCGTGTGCATCGGTCCCGGATCGAACTCCCAGGCGTTTGAAGAGGTGGAGATTGTGGTGGTGGTGGTAGTAGTGGATGGGAGTGAAGGGGATTGAAGGGGAGTGGAAATGGTGGTGGAAGTGGTGGTGGAAGTGGTGGTGGTGTGGAGGTAGAGGTGGGGTGGACTGGGATGTCAGACTTGAAGCACCTCCATGGTAGAGCAGAGTAATACAGTATCATACAAACTCTCGACTCAACACCGCACTGCACGCAACTCGTGAGAAGCACGACTCCACCACGGATGTTTTCCCATAGTGCAATACGGTACGTAAATCTCGGCATCTTCGTCGAGCTGATTACTGAAGATGAGACGTCTCGCGGGAGCGTGCAGGTTGCCGGCGCTCCTTCACTTCCGATAGCCGTGCAGCGGATTGGCTAACTGCCAGGTAGTAACCCATCCCGCCATGCGAATGCGAGTGAACCGGCTGCACGTAGAGTGCTTATGTACCGAAGGCGATAGATCAGAAAACGTCAGAATCATATCCATTGTCCATTGTCCTTCATAGATTTCCCAAGCATGTACCTACGCCGGCTCGGACAAAGAAAAGAATTCAAAAGGAAAAGAAGGGAAAAAGCGCCACCGCCACCACCGGCACCATCCGGCCCAATCTCCCCCAACAGGTTCGATGTGCAGAATTCAGTTGTTGTGCGATTCCCGCTTCCCCGTGGGTAAGATGATGGATGGATCAGAGGCACTTGCACTTTGACTTCACTTCCGTTCGCGGGTGAAAGAGGAGTGGACTGGACTGGACTGGACTGGACTGGAGAGGAGAGGAGAGGAGAGGAGAGGAGAGGAGTCAAATGCCGTCACCGCCACCGTCACCGGGTGCGCCAGTGTATCATGTATGTCCATACCTATGGGCGGATTCTCCACTCGGACCGTCGGAAGATTTACACACTCTATTACTAACGGTAGACTTCCGGATCGGCCAGCAAAAGAGCTGAGCGTCTTCATACGATCATACCACCTTTGTTTTTGCATCCTCAATCCCATACTATATAGTCCGTACATATCTCCGCCTCAGCAAAGCCGTCACGACTCACGGCTTCCCGCATACTCGACACGCGATCCAGCCCCCCATCCAGCCTGTTAAGCATATCGACATACCACATCATAATGGCGGATCCTTATCGCTCCCATCCCATCAAGTACCTGGAGGCAAGTAAGTGAGTAAGTAGGTGCAAACATTCCCGCACGCAGCCTGGTGAACTTTCAACTACTACGGTACACCCCCTTACATGGAACCATTTCCCCCTCCTCCTCCTCCTCCTCCTCCACCCCACCCGCCACTAACCGGACGCAAGGCGCAAGAGGAATCGAATGCAAGAGGGCGGCCTGCAGACACGCGGCTTCGATTCCAGTCCTTTGTTCTTGTGTGTGCGAGCCAAGGTGGGCGGGCGGGCTGGTTCATCCCTTGCTACGTCGCCTACTATTGAGGAGGAGGAGTGAGGTGAGCGAGTGAGTGAGAGATTGAGAGAGTGAATGTGTGAGAGAGTGTGTGGGACTGGGTCTTATATTTGGGGCGAGGGCCCCCCGCCGATTTCAGTCCGGAATACCCTTCGCATCGTCGACGATCGTGCGAAACCGAGCATCAGCAAAACTATCCGTCGCTCTTCCTATTTCCTAGCTTTAGTTACACCTCATTCAAGCTATCCGCTGCTCTTCGATTAGGAGCCTTCCGATTCCCAGCTCCAGCTGCAGTTGCTACCGACAGCCACTTTTAGGTCCTATTCACCTCGCATCGACGGCAACCCCCCCACCTTCGCTTCACCGTCACTCGCTACTTCGCCGCCAAAGTACATCCCACATCCCACTCCCCCAATGTGCCAGTACAAACTCCAGATCTTCGCATGCGGGGATTCCTACATCACGCGCGAGAAGCCGTGCGCGAACAGGTACCCGTTGCACTGCAACACGTTTGAGGTGCCGCTCGAGACGCGGCATGCGATTGACTGCTATCCTTGCCGCCGGAATCCAAAGAGGAGGATACTGCCGGCTATGGCGAGGGGGATTTACGCGCATCGTTAGGGTTCATTGGTGGTGGCGGTGGATGGATTGGTTATGCTTCGTGGTTGGGTATACCAGTTTTGTGACTTTGCTTTGGGATTTTGCATGTTTGAGTTGAGGGATTTCGGATTGGATTGCGTGGGATTGGATTATGCTGGATTGGATCGAGTTGGATATCTATGAACGGGCTCTGGCCTGTGGCTTATATCTCAGAGAGTGCGGGCATCAGTGCGATATTGCCGAGAGGGTTCTGTTTGTGCTCTGCGGCCGTTCCAAACTTGCATCGTGCCCGATTGACACCCTGATACCTACCTACGACTCTATCGCGTCCATGAGATTGCTAAACTCTTTCTCCAACAATGTCTCCATTTGTTTCTCACTTCGATTCAAACGGTTTCTCGAACCTAACCAGCCACTGGAGGCAGACGCTTACTAGCGTCGGGATAGCTATCCCTCCTGTTAGAACCTGCTCACCACAGCTACACAGGCTGGCTCTATCCGGCTTATACATCGTCAGAGGCGGTGGCGAGTAAATAGCACCTGCGGAAATCGCGAGTCGGGCGTGTATGGTAGTCTTGCGAGGGGTCTATCGGCGTGGATCAATCCTCCTCATGAACAACACACCCCATATCGTTTTTCTTAATTCATCATGTCAGCAGATATTTAACCAAGACTAGTCTGCACTCCGGATAACGAGCCAAACGCCTCCACTCCCTCCATCCCTCGAACCGCTGTTCTTCCTGATGCTCTCCAGAGGCATCGCTGACTCAGACTCCCTCCTCGCCGTCCGCCGCCTTAGAAACCAACATACAGACGTCGATGCCCTCCGTTATCAAAGAGAGGGGCTGGGGGAGTTGGAATCCTCAATTATATTTCGCACACAGCCTTTCTAGACCATGAACTCTGCGTTCCCAAGTTTATTTCCTCGCGCAGTGTTGGTTATTCATCAGTCATCACACGTCTGCCTGCCTATCCTAGATTTTAATTGTGACAATCAACATTAGAGTGGCTCATACCAACCAAGACCAAGGCCGAGAACGAGCCTTCGGGGAATCAAAGACCCGTCCGAGATCTGGAATCCATCTCATTACGACCATCTCGTACACTCTCTCCATCTTATATCTCCAACAGGTTACGAGCCCGGGTCAGCGTAACCAATATCGACGATCTCATCCTTTATCCTCAACAAGCCTTCGGGGGCAACAAAGACCCGTCCGGGATGCGGAGGATACTTCGAGAAAAACTCGACAACTGGGCCAACGAAGTGGGCCGATCGATTATGGTCCGGGGAATCTACAAACAGTCCCTCGCCCCAAACGAGACGCTCCGAAGCTACTTTGAGCGTCTTATCCTATACCGCTCCACCCTCAAGGGCATCCGTGATTTGCTCTTCTGTGCCATTGAGAGGGGACGGTATTGGATGAGACGCTCGAAGTAGCTTCGGAGTGTCTCATTCGGGACGGGGGACTGTTTGTAGAATCCCCGGACCATAATCGATCGGTCCACTTCGTTGGCCGGGTTGTCGAGTTTGTCTCGAAGGATCCTGCAGATCTCGGACGGGTCTTTGATGTCTTGTTGAGGATAAAGGATGAGATCGTCGATATTAGTTACGCTGACCCGGGCTCATAACCTGTTAGAGATATAAGATGGAGAGTTTATACGAGATGATCGTAATGAGATGGATTGCTGAAGAAGAGAAGATGGGGATATGATGAAGTCTGCGGTAGTGCCAAGGTTGTTATGAGCTAGGGTAAGCTAGGATAGGCAAGCAGACGCGAGATGACTGATGAATCATCAACACAAAGCTCATTGTAACCCGAGTGAGACGCCATGTAGCTGAGCTACGTAATCCGGCCCGGCTTGGCGACGGATCAAAGTTTAGGTCGGGCCACCCTCGTCATCGAACCACTTGGTTGCCGAAGCTACACATCCCACCATTCCCCGCCATACATCACCCCCACCAGCGTACGCCACCATGAACGCGTCCAAGACCCTCCGTCTGCTGCACCGCCCAGCGCCGTCGCCGCAATGCCTCCTTCGTATTGCCCGGACGAAGCAGTTCCACTCGTCGCCCATGCTCCAGAAGTTCAAAACCGTCGAGGAGGCTAAGGCGAGGTATCGTAGTGGAGTCAGTACCTGTACCCTCCCGTCTCCCCGTCCCCCCAGCTACACGCGATGAGACTTCGGGATGGTGGTGGTGATGGTGATGGCAGTAGCTGATCACTGGGGTGGGGGGGTAGCCGTTCTCGTGGAAAGCCGGGCTTCTGTTTGTCGCTTCCGGTGTCGGACTGGCGTTTTACTTCCGCATGGAGAAGGAACGGATGGCGAGGAAGAAAATCGCCGAGTTGTCAAAGGGTGTCGGGAGGCCTAAGGTCGGAGGCCCGGTGACGGGCTTCGTGGATCAGAATGGGAAAGTGAGGGAGGATGCGGAGTTTGCGGGGAAGTACCGATTGGTGAGTTGGCGATCAGAAGGGAAGAAATGCGCGACGATGTCGATGGGGTGGTGATGGCTGACAATGCGTCGCAGGTTTACTTCGGATTCACCCATTGTCCAGATATATGCCCCGAGGAGCTGGACAAAATGGCCGGGATGATCGATCGTATGGTTTTCTCCTTCTTTGCGGCTCTTCTCTTGGGGAAATTCACGAGTGACGAAGGATCGGTCTGTAGTGGTCAAGAAAAACCACGGTAACATCATGACGCCGATGTTCATCACCTGCGATCCGGCACGCGATACGCCCGAAGTCGTACGTTATCCCGCGAGTCGATTCTCCATCGAGGGAACGGAGCTTTGCTACCGAAATGGCCCGGCCGGCCGGCTAACCTGGTTCGATGCGCATCGCAGATGAAGGAATATTTGGAAGAGTTCCACCCGGATCTTATCGGATTCACCGGTCAGTAATATCACCACCTCACACCATTGGCGCGATTGGAAGGAGGATGGAGACGCTTTCCTCGCAGTCTTGTAGCGTGTGCCCTTATCGACGGTTATCGCTCGTACTCTGAAAGGCTACTTCCTTCCTTCCTTCGGTATCGAACGTTCACTTTAGCCTGCATGATCTCTTAACCTTTGGATACAGGCACGTACGATCAGATCAAACAGCTCTGCAAAGCATACCGCGTATACTTTTCGACGCCGCCCGATATCAAGCCTGGACAGGACTACCTCGTTGACCACTCAATCTACTTCTACTTGATGGGTATGTTGAGCACCCACCGTATTCTGATGCGCATTTGATTTCCCCGTGAGGTTCGACACCTTCATTATGCATGGGCGGAGATCGCCGAGCCAGTGACGTGCCGGTTCTCCGAGTACCGGCCTGCGGTAGAAAAGCTGCAGGTGAGATCGTCATTTGCGATGCCACAGCGTGCCCCACGATTTACGCTGGGCTGCTCCTGTGCGTTCGGCGGAGAAAGTTCGTCGGCTGTCATTTGACGCTTGTCTAATCACCTGCACTCCACCCCTCCGACCCTTGCATCGAAGGGTTATCTGCCGCACCGTTTTTCGATTGGATCGCAAGCTGATTGACACCGGCAGATCCCGACGGTGATTTCGTCGAGGCGCTGGGTCGTCAACACACGCCGGAGCAAGCAGCGGCCATCATCGGGAAGCACGTCAACGATTGGCAGAAGCCGCTGAGGAAGGATTAAGAGGTGGAGATTAGATCGCTGTGACACGTGAAATGTATATTGTTGTACAGTACATAGGAAATTCTTGGATTACATAGACATTTTGGGGGCTTTTTACGAAGACGGTTGCACGACTGCGAAGGTTGTTGACGGTTTCGCGGCGGGTATCCGATCTTTCTTGCAGACTCGCGAGTCGCGAGTCGCAGTTCTTATTCTTTTCCTCTTTCCGGAGAATTTCCGTGTCGCGCGGCGGCGGCAGGTGGCCACCAACGGGGCAGCATACGATCCTTACTTCCCGCAGTTGTAACATCACTTCTCGAACCAGGTATGTAGATAGTACCGTAGGTCTTCACCGTCCGTCTCCGCCCCCCGTCTGTGCCGTCCGTCTGCGCAACACGCAGTCTTGCGCTCTCCCGCGGCGACTTCCAGATAAATGTCAATCACGGTCCTTCCCGCTTTGGCAGTGGATCCGCACCGTTAGGTTAAGCATCTGTGGATCTCGCTAACGATTGGCCAGACATAGCTAGGATAGGGGGGGCTACATAATGTTTCGTCTGGGTGGAGACTTTGTGAATTTTGCTTGTGATAGTCATGTACTCTATGTACCCGTCAACTCGGCGCGGCGGTTAGCGACGAGAGAGAGTCCAGAGAGCGTCCGAGTTTATACCTAGCTGCAGTGCCTTGTCCGCGCCTTGTGTGGGGCACATGCCTACCAGGTGAGGGAGGGTGGATAGGTGCCCTCCCACGTCCCACCGTCCCACTGTCCTACGTCTTGTTTCTAGTTTCTAGTTCCGTATCGTATCGGTGCTCGCCTGTGCTTGAGCTTTTGAGTGTGCTTGTGTTTGATAGTGGCAAGGGACGGGGGAGGGGGAGGGGGAGGGGGCAGGTCTGGGAAGGAGGATGGAGTGGCTGGATTTATACGCCGATAGACGCTTTGGGAGTGTACGATATAAGGGACGGATGGCAATCATGGATTCCTTTCCCTTTTCCGTCCCCACTGTTTCTTGTCCTTGTCCTCCTCCAACTACCTCCTCCAGCTCCTCCCCCTCCTCCTCCTCCTCCTCCCTCCTGTTCACGGAGACGTGACAAACCCCAGAGAACAGCAGCAAAATGGATCCAGTCCGGCCGCAAACTCCGCCTCCACCTCTCGAGGGAGTCTCCTTGACCGAGCATGTTCCTTCGTACGACGAGAAGAAGGACTTCCACAATGTGGGAATCGACAGCGACGAGAACAAGAGTGTCCACGAGATCGAGTCGGATCCCTTCGTTCCCTTTCCCGACGACCCGAATATGCCCCGGGAGGCGCACTCGCAGATTCTCACTATCCGCGCTGTCGTCACGGGATGCATTCTCGGCGGTCTCGTTAATGCGTCGAATGTTTATTTGGGATTGAGGACCGGGTGGACTGTATGTACATCTCGACCTTGAGTTTGAGCTTGCCTATCTACCAGCGGAGCCCCGCTGACTTTACTGATACCTCTCAAGTTCCCGGCAAATCTCTTCGGCACGATCTTTGGCTTCGCGTTTCTCAAGTTCTGTAGCCGCACGTTCGGAGAGAATTTCCCCATTCTCGGCGGCAGCTTTGGCCCGAAGGAGAATGCCATCGTCCAGACCGCTGCTACAGCGGCGGGTGGGCTCGGTGGCATCTTCGTCTCTGCGATCCCGGCGCTATATCAGATGGACCTTCTCGGAGATCCCGTCTCCGACTTCCCTAGGCTCCTAACGTTCACTATTGTCTCCGCCTACTATGGATTACTCTTTGCGACACCTCGTGAGCGCTCCTTGTGTGACGTACTTGTAGGGACAACTACTGACTGCCGCAGTGCGGAAGTTCTTCATCATCCATGTTGCGCGTGAGCTTAATCTCATCTTCCCAACTGCGACGGCCGCCGCCATGACGATTCGGTCGATGCATTCCATCGGTGGTGACTCGAACGTCAATGCGATGAAGAGGACCCGTGCACTGGGTATCACGTTCGCGGTCTGCTTGGCTTTCCGTGTTGGAGCTTCCTACGCCCCAGGTATCCTGTGGGATTGGCATATCTTCAGTTGGTTCTTCGAGGTGCGTTGTACAGCGTGTCCGAGATTGATTTGCGAACAGAGAGTTGACTGGTGTCGCAGTGGAGTAACTACTCCAACGCCGCCCTGGCCATCGAGAACTGGGGATGGTTCATCGAGTGGACGCCCGCCTTCATTGGCAGTGGTATGCTCGTCGGTCTCAACCCGGCCATTTCGTTCTTTGGAGGAGGCGTTCTTGCGTGGGGTAAGTGGGGCGCTCTGGCTTGTGGATGTGTTCTGGTGGCTGACGACGACAGGTATCATCGGACCGGCGCTTGTGCATAATGGTGCTGCATACGGAGTCTCCTTGTTCTCTCCGGAAGAACCGCAGTATGAGCACTGGGGCGGCCTCGTTTCGTTCAACTCTTTCAATCTGAAGGATCCCAAGAATATGCCATCGCCCCGATACTGGCTACTGTGGCCGTGAGTATTGAGACTACCTCCTCTCTTGTAGACGTGAAGTTCTAACGGACCGATAGTGGTGTCCTACTCATGATCTGTGCTTCCTTCGCTGAACTCGGAGTTCAGTACAAACTCCTTGGCTTTGCTATGAAGAGTGTCTGGAAAGCCATTGCGGGAGGTACAAATTTCCTCGCCACAAAAATGGGAAAGCCGAGTGTGTTTCTCGACAAGCAAGCCAATTCCGAATCCGATATGGTCGACCAAGACCCCGCAGCGGAAGAGGATCAAGTCAAGCTGTGGCAGTGGGGACCCTCATTGATCCTTGTCATCATCGCGACCTGTATAGTCCTAGGTCTTCAATACCAACTAAATGTCGGCCTTTCCATCCTCGCCATCCTTTTGGGCTTCATCTTTGCCTTCTTGGCTATTCAGTGCACAGGAGCGACCGACACGACGCCCCTTACGGCTGCAGCGAAGGCCACTCAGTTGGTCTTGGGGGCTGCAACCCAAAGCCACCCTATCCTCATCGCCCAGCGGATGAATCTTGTCGGGGGTGCCATCGCATCCGGTGCAGCAAGCCAGTCCACTGATCTGGTCGTCGACTACCGTGTTGGATTCCTACTTAAAACTCCACCGAAATTGCAGTGGTATGCGCAGATCGTCGGCAGCATCGTCGCCATGTTTCTGTCGCCCGGGATGTTCATGTAACTCCGCCCTGCAGTTTCTCCACGGTACCTTGCTAATCATGCTTCCAGCCTCTTCATGAAAGCCTACCCCTGCGTCATCGATCTCACAGCGGAGACATGCAGCTTTCAAGCGCCCAGCGTCGCCGCCTGGCGCGCCGTCGCTATCGCCGTTACAGACCCGACCTTCCCGGTGCCCAACAGCTCTGGCATCTTCGCGATCGTCTTGGGCCTCTTCTCGATCATCGTCGTCATCTTCCGGCACAACTATCTCGCCGGCGAGCGGGCCAAGTACCGCAAGTTTGTCCCGAACTTCATGGCCGTGGGTCTCGCCTTCGTCCTGCCCGCCACCCAGTACGGTACCGCTATGTTGATGGGCTCCATCGTTGCCGTGATCTGGGCAAAGCGTAATCCCGTCGCTTTCGATATTTTCTGCTACGCTGTCGCGGCCGGAATGATTGCCGGTGAGGGATTGGGCGGCGTCGTTAATGCCGTCCTGGAGATTGCCGGCATCGGAAGCAGTGTTTATGCTTCGCCCGCGGGGTGCCCCGGTGGCATGGTCTGCTAGGTGTGGTGTTTTGCGCAATGTTGGTTATTATACTGTCGTTGGACGTTTTTTTTATGACCGTGACGGAGAAACGGAGACACGGTGGTAATTTGATGTATTCATGATCATGTCGACGTGTTTAGGGATGTGTCGTGCCTCCTACTGGTGAAGTGATGAACAAAGTCGGCGAACATGAACTTGGATGTAGAGAGTGGTGTCTCCGGCAGCCACCTGGGTTTATGAGTCGACGGCCCCCACGATCCGGCGGAATGACTCACGGAACCCCACTCGGCTCAACAACTATCCGGATGTCTTTCGCGAAACGTACTTGATGAAGAGCGCGCATGTCAATGGTCATCTAAAACACGATTGAAAGTTTGCAGAGCTGATGAACTTCAAGTATCATAGAATACCGGTATTCCGCGGAACCATTTGCCCACTGGAATCACGGTAGACGTCATAAACGATCACTCGAATACATTGCGCGAGTCAGAAGTTGGTTCGGATCCGATACGTACACGCCTCCTAGAGACCGATGCCGGGCTGCGAGCGAACACCTTTTTTATACTACGGGGAAGGAAGATGGAAGGGTTGGTGGCATGGGTGGCACGGGTGCCCAGCGGCCTCATGCAGTCGCTATCCGTACTTGGTGCAGGAAGCTGTCCAACGGATGATATTGCGAACACAAGGGTGAACAATCCAACTAGGCATGGCGAAGGCTGGTGGAGGGTGGAGTACCCAGGAAGCATTCCTAAGGCGGTAACATGACTTTGGTGGGCAGGCGGTGGAATGCAGCGGCGAGGGAACGTAGTGCGACAATAGTACTGTCCTGTGCATGATACAGATGGATTGTGTAGGATTAAATACTAGACGCAGGGGCTGTAGGAGTGGTTACTTAGTTTCGCTGGTCTTAGGCACCCCAGGAGTACTCACATACGATGCCCGGCCGCAACTCCAAGTACTCTGGAAGCATGTAGTAACTGTGACACCCCGATAGGTATCGGAGGTCACGACGGTTGCAAGAGATGTGATTAGATAGTTCGGGTGATTAGAATAGAGTTGCGAGCCGAAAGGATAGTTGGAAGCGATCAAGGACAAGATAGGAAGGAGGGAGCAAACGGATTCCAGAGTCTAGACAGTGATCGGAGATGCGGGTGATCGGGATAACAGTCCAGAGGACTTTGAGATCTCCGTTCATAGGGCCCCGCAGTAGGAACTCCGATCCAGGGAAAAACTGTTATGACGAGAGAAATCGAACATCGACCTATGGGGGCAGAGAACTTCGAGCTAAGAACTCTGCCGGCGCATGAGGGAGATAATTGCTCGGAAACTCCGATCTATCTTGGGCGCGTGGTGTTTACCACCTGCCTAGTCGAGAAGACTATCCGAAGAGAGCTGACGACGACTCAAGGCTAGGCCGCGGAACTCCGATGCAAAGGAAGCAACGGAGCTACGTTAGGCCGCACTGTAGAGGAATCACGTGCTGAGGATCGGGACGGCTATAAGTCGAACCGAGCGGGCAACCGAACCAAACCACAATCACCGCACCGAACAAACCATCGAAGAAACACCCTTAAGATTATTCCGTTGTGAATTATCGAAATCCCTGACTTTTATTCTACACACGATATTACCATAGACTCCGACGGCACAAACTCGTTCCAGTGTCACAGTAAGAGACGAATATCCACAAGCAAACACATCATCTCGTGGCTCCTCAAGAAATTCAAGCGCGCCGTATGTGTGAGACTGGAACGATTTCGGTCGTCGTAGTCGATTGATAGAATAGGATAAGAATGAAAATAGATAGTATTCTTTCTTTCACAAACGGAATAATCTTAAGGGGTAGTGTCGATGGTTTTCTGGTTGCTGATTCTGATGATGAATCTTTCGCCGTATCGTCAAAAGTCTATATAGTTGGGTTGATTTGGTCGAGACACGTGCCAGCCGTTGCAGTAGCTTGTTGCCGGATGGAAACCCTGGCGTGAAATCTCTGCACTTGGTGCGGAGACTTTCTCCGCCATGTCATCCGAGTCGTCGTAAGCCTTCAGGATGGTTTATACAAACTAGGCAGGTATGGCGCACCAATCCTTACCCGAGCATAGTCCAGTTTCAGCTATCTCTTCGCTGAACAACGGCTGCGCCTTTCGGCACGGCTCTTATTTGCTTAAGACGCGAGAAGAGGGGCAACACTCGTCATAGTGGTTTTTCTCCGATCAGAGTTTCCTCTGCGCTTGTTCCGCGATTTGCCTGCCTCAAGTCAAGGATGACTGTATCGGACTTTTCGTGGGTATCGCTGCGCCTCTGATCCCACCTAGACTCTGGTTCCGTTTGCTTCGTTCCTTCCTATCTCGTCTCTGACTAGCTACGACTAATCTAAAGGTTTCCTCCTGCTCCCCGATCTATCTAACTATTTTTCCCGAACTTCCGTTGGTAAACAGCCGGACCCTGAAGTCGGGCCGACTGCGACAAGGGTGTCACACCATCTCCCCTCTCCGACGCTTGCGTCCCAAAGCCTGCGGAGTTCTATCTAGTCTTTGTACGGTGAATGCAGTCCTCCAACCCCTGCATCCTACTACCGCTCGACTCAAGAGAAAAACCCAGTGAGAAAAACTCTCATTCTTCTGTGAGCGGATAGTCCCTCGGTGCGTCCGGATTCTTGCGGTGGAATTCCCGCAGTTTCTCCGGACCACCTACTGAAAAGTTGTCGAAAGGCTCATGAGTCCAATCCCGTTTGCTGGGATAGTTGAGCCATCTCACGGGGTAGAGTACGTGCCGTCCTTTCTGGGTGCTACCCATAACTTCCTCGACATCGTATTCCTCATTGCTCTCGACGTCATCCGCTTCCCGGAGTATTTTCGACGGGTCGGGGGGATCTCGGTTGCCTGCTCGGTAGGGTTCGACAAGCGAGACATGGAAGACATTGTGTATCTTCCATTTTCGCGGTAGCGTGAGCTTGACGGCGAGGGGGGAAACGATCTTCTCGATTTGGAACGGGCCATGATTTTTGTGGTCCAGTTTCCTCGAGGGGCGGCGGGTTTGTATATTCCGTCCGCTGAGCATTACCAGGTCTCCTACCTGATAAGGGGGCTGTGACACCCCGATAGGTATCGGAGGTCACGACGGTCGCAAGAGATGTGATTAGATAGTTCGGGTGATTAGATTAGAGTGGCAAGCCGAAAGGATAGTTAGAAGCGATCAAGGACAAGATAGGAAGGAGGGAGCAAACGGATTCCAGAGTCTAGACAGTGATCGGAGATGCGGGTGATCGGGATAACAGTCCAGAGGACTCTGAGATCTCCGTTCATAGGGCCCCGCAGTAGGAACTCCGATCCAGGGAAAAACTGTTATGACGAGAGAATCGAACATCGACCGATGGGGGCAGACAACTTCGAGCGAAGAACTCTGCCGGCGCATGAGGGAGATAATTGCTCGGAAACTCCGATCTATCTTGGGCGCGTGGTATTTACCACCTGCCTAGTCGAGAAGACTATCCGAAGAGAGCTGACGACGACTCAAGGCTAGGCCGCGGAACTCCGATGCAAAGGAAGCAACGGAGCTACGTTAGGCCGCAATCTAGAGAAATCACGTGCTGAGGATCGGAACGACTATAAGTCGAACCGAGCGAGCAACCGAACCAGATAACCATCATCGCACCGAACAAACCATCGAACAAACACCCTTAAGATTATTCCGTTGTGAATTATCGAAATCCCTGACTTTTATTCTATACTCGATATTACCATAGACTCCGACGACACAAATTCGTTCCAGTCTCACAGGGGCCTCTTGGCGACGTTGGTCGGCGTAGCGGCGCATACGTTCCTGTGCTTGCTCAAGGGACTTGATGGTCTCCTCGTGCACAGTCTGCATCCAGTGCGCATAGACCGTGCTGGCGGGGTTGAGGGGGTTCGTCGCAGCAGGTCCGCTAGCTGTTGGGTGGAATCCGTAGTTCGCGTAGAACGGCGAGAATCCAGTAGCCGTGGTGACCGAGTTGTTGTAGGCAAACTCAGCCATGGGGAGGAGGCTAACCCAGTCGTCTTGGTCTTTGTTGACGAAGGAGCGGAGGTATGCTTCAATCGTCTGGTTGAGGCGTTCTGTTTGCCCGTCTGTTTGGGGGTGAAACGCCGTAGACATCCTTGCCTTGATGCCTAAAAGCTTCATAAATTCCTTCCACGTATCCGACGTGAAGCGGGAATCTCTTTCCGATACGATATCCGAGGGTAGGCCATGGAAGCGCCAGATTTTGCGGGCAAAGATTTTAGCGAGGTCACTGACTGTCTTGCCGTCCTTTCGTAGGGGAATGAAATGCCCCATCTTGGTGAATCAGGCGATGACTACCCAGAGTTGGTCGCATTCCTCGGACTCGGGTAGATCGGTTATGAAGTCCATAGCGATGGATTGCCATGGAGCGTAAGGCAGTTCGAGGGGGTTTAGGAGTCCATAGGGTTGGTGCCGCGCTGTCTTGTTTTTTTGACATTCAGGACAGCCACGCACGAAGTCGATGATGGTTTCGTCCATTTTTGGCCACCAAAAGTTGCGTCGAATCAACTCGATCGTTTTGTCCTGGCCCATATGGCCGGCAACTTTGGTATCGTGCTCTGACTCCAGGATCTGCTGGATCAGGCCTTTGTTGTTCGGTATCCACAATGTCAGGGCTCGCGACGGAATGACGAAGGGAGAGTCGGCACAAGGATCGGGAGAGTTGGGGGGCAGTGCAGAGGCAGTGCACCGGCAGTGCAAGGATGAGTCGCAGAGGATTGGGGGCTGTGTGCAGGGAGCAGGGATAGCGCAGTAATGAGTCGCAGAAGATTGGGGCTGTGTGCAGGAAGCAGCGGTAGTGCGGCTGCGCAGGGCATGAGTCACAGAAGTGAGGTACTGGCAAGGTGGATTTCTCAGGGTCTGGCACACGCCCACGGTCATTGTCAGGTTACAGGAAGAAGTGGAGGATTTCCTATATAAACGGGCCGTTGCCCCTGTGTATGTAGTTTTTCACGCCACAACTTGTTAATTCAACCACTGTTACCTCTGTCCTTGCCTCGGCTGCCGTCTGCGCCGTAGTCCTTGTCCCTGCCCCTGTTCTCAGTTGCCGTCTGCACTGAGCCCTGCCTCACCTTGTCCCCTGAACCCGTCTTGCCTCTACCGAACCCAGAACCCGATCCCCAGCCCGATGGTAAGAAGCCGAACCCGGAAGTCGGGCCGACTGCGACCAGGGTGTCACAGGA